GGCGGTTTCGCTCGTAGCGCGGGAGGCAGAGGAGAAGGTTGGTCCGAAGGAGGTGAACTGACTAGGCTCGCTTTCTCTCCTCCTCGCTGCCTTCCCTTCGACCACCTTGAACAATCACCTACGTGCGATCTCCTCCGCCCTCGGAACGTCACGACTTCCCCTTCTCTCGTCGCCTCCTCGTCTTCCTCGACCTCTCCCGCTTGCTCGCCTCTCGCCGCCCATATCTCGCCTCATCTCGCCTTTCGCGCACGTCTCAACGTCTCGACAATCCAACGACTCGCATTTCGCACCAACAGCCAGCCTTTGCCCATCGAGATCCAGTACGTGACCATCCCTCCTTCGACGACAGAAGGCCTTCGCTGACCTACTTCCACACACAGGGTCCCGATCATCTACGCCGGTGTTAACGGTACAGGACTTGACAGTTCTCCAACCTGAGACGCTCGACTGACCTCGGACTCACGCAGGTCTCCTCGACCGCGTCCCCGTCGACAAGATCGGCGCGTGGGAGGCGTCGTTCAAGGACCACCTCAAGAGCCAGTCGTCGCTTCTCGAGAAGGTCTCGGCCGGAAAGATGACCCCCGAGCTCGACGCCGAGATCAAGAAGACGGTCCAGGAGCACGTCTCGCAGTTCGTCTCGGCCTAAGCGGTGGTGTCTGGCCTGGCGCTTGAGCGGAGCGGAATAGAAGGGCGGCGGAGGTTCCGTGAGTCCGAAAAGAGAAGGGGTTCCCACATGCAGTCGTCTCCCCTTCCTCTCTCTTTCTCTCTCTACGTGTGTGCGAATCTGAAAATGGCGTTCTCTATCTCTCTCACTCTCTGCGTATGAGCGAGCTTCTAGCGAGATGCGAGGAGAGCCTTCAAAGGAGACACGAGGGCGAGTCTTTGCGCCGGCTGGAAGATGCCAGCCTCTCAGCTCCGTCTCAGGCAGCAGGATATCACGACACGAAGCGTCACTGCGTTGCAAGGTAGGAATGCATTTCCGGCGATCCGACAGACTCAGCGCACCACGACGAGGCGAGGCAACTTCACGATGGAGTCGAGGAACGCCGCGACACCATCGCCGACCTTTCGTGCTGCATCAGGATTCGCATTGGCTGGGTCTTCCAAGTAGAAGAAGAGGCGGTTGGTTGCTCCGGTGAGGTACTTCATCGCATGCACTGCGTTTGCCGGCTTGCTGAGAGCCACAAAGACGCTAAGCCGGTGAAGGTAGCCCGTCAACCAAGGCGGTGGGTCAGACTCGAACTCGTTAAGATGAGATGCCTCGCCGAGTAGCGTAAGAAACTCGATGCCTTCCGTCGTAGCGGGCTGCTGGCTGTGCGCGGACAGGTGCACCCGTACAATGCGAAGAAGGTTTCCGTGTAGGGCTGGCGGGTACGTCTGCAGGTGTGAAGGCTGAGAGAGTTCTTGAAGGACTCGCTACGGGTACGCATGAATGCTTCATCAGCGAAACAATCGGAGACAGGAGCCCAAGTGGGGAGGAGCGCAAAGGCATTTCGCTGCGCGGGCAGTGCACGACCACCTGCAGCTCCTGAAAAAGCGTCGCGGAGTGGGGCATGACGGTGTTGATAGGCAAGTCCAAGATCCGCGTGGCTGCTTCAGCTTCTTTGGGCGTAAGGGGAGGCCAGCGGAACGGGTTGGCCTTGCCAGGCCCGCAGAACATCCGGTGCATGTGCCAGGCCTGGCTTGGTGAAGTATAGTCAGTCACTTCACGCACCTGTGAGCCTAAAAGGTGAAGGGAGACGCACGAGTTTCTGGTGTTCCGGCGAGCAGAAGAAGAGGTCAACTCCTGCCTTCGCGCACGCTGAGCACCGGTTCTTCGTTTCCGTTCCGCACACCAAGCATTCTCCCATCGTCTGCGTGTCCATCGCTGGTAGTCGCAAGCTGTTGTCGCGGTGCAAACCGAAGTCGACCGCGAGGACTGATGAAGTTGGCGAGGTGGTGAAGGAGAGCGTGAGAAGCGAGGCGCCGGTCACTAGACGCTCGAGAGCAGTCGTAGCACGGTCACAAGCAGCAAGCAAGCCCAATCTGAAGCAGCGAGTGAGGAGGACGAGGGAGACCCGCGCCCTTTGGCCTCCCTTCGACCTCGACCGCTCACTTTGCTCCCGCTCACGCGTTCGCCTGCCTAGCTGACCCGCTCAGACTGCTCTTAAGTCCGAAAATGACCTCTCTGACTGCCCGCCGCTGCATCGTGTGCGATGCTGAAGCGACCAAGCGATGCTCGTCCTGCGCCAGAGAAGGCATCGACCTCTTCTTCTGCTCGCTGGAACACTTTGCAGAGGTGCGTGAGGATTTATTTGCTGCATCTGAAATCGGCTGAAGCGCTCAATTTCGCTCGCAGGTCTGGTCAGGCCACAAACCGTACTGCGGGAAGGACTCGTCCTTCCTCTCTCAGCCGTTGGAGCAGGAGATCGCCGTTGCGCGTGCACTATGTGGCGTACCGCTGCAGACAACGGTCGTGAAGCACCTGGTCCAGGTGGTTTGGGGCGCGTCGAAGGCGGATTATCAGTCTCTGGACGGCCTGCGCTTGCGTCAGTCGATGAAGGCGCGTTTTTTCCGTTGTACCCTGCGCATGCACGCTGACGCGCCATGCAGGCTATCTGGGGCTTCGACCCGGTTCAGACGGAACTCGGCGCGAGCGATGTTGACGACGAAGGCTCCTTTCCTTGCGAGCTCGAAAAACTCCAGGTTTCCCTGCGAAGGTACGCTGTCGAAATGAGCAGAATCATCGTCAAACACCGTTGACCATTGGTCTCGCACACAGAGTCTCCTCGACCACCTCGAAACACTCGGTCCGGACGAGCCTGACCTTGTCCCGTTCCGAGACGTTCTCATCGCCGGCATCCGGTCCATCAAACCTTGCCCTTCATCGCTTCCAACTCTCTGGCGCGCCGTCAGCAACATTCGCCAGCTCCAAGGCATCCTGCTCTTCACTGCCGCAACCGAATGGCTCGAAGCCCGGCACAAGGCTGGCGAACCGCTTGTTGACCCGACGCACGAGCTCTGGTGGAAGCTGCTGAACCACCGGATCTGCCTCGCCTTTGCTCTCCCGCCAAAATCCGTTCCCGGCGAAGTCGAGTACGGCAAGCGTTGCTTCGAGACGGCGCGCGCCTGGATGCAGCGCGGGATGGACCTCGACGACCCGGACCTTGCCAAGGTCTTCTCGACCGAACCCCTGGCTTACAGCGTTGTCTCGCCCTACATGTGGCCGAGCAAGGCTGCCGACCCCACTCAAGCGCCTCCCGCCCCAGCGAAGAAGACGAAGAAGGTCACGAGCGGGAGCGCCAAGGTCAAGCTTAAGCTCGTGCAGACGCGCAGCTGACTTGACGAACAGTACCTCGACTGCAATGCGACGCTCCTTGACCACTCCGCTACACGCAAAGCGGCTCGACTCGTGAAGGTCCCCGTGCAGGCTTCGACAGCGACAGACTCTTCGCCCTCCTACCCGCCTCCTTTCGCTGTCGTCCTCCCAGTGACGTTCTCTCGAGATCGAGCTCTTCTAGAACACCTCAGCACGCCTGTACGAGGCTTGGAACGCCTCTCCCGCTTATAAGCCTGCTTCACTTGCTTCGTTTCGCTCCCGCTTGAGTCTCTTTATGTGCGAGGCTTCGCAAGTCACCACGAGAGCGTCAGAAAGCCTCTCGCCATCCTTCACGTCTTCCGCCCCCGTCCACCCCCGCGATCTCAACCCGCCGCTTCGCCCTCCACCACGCGCTCTGCGCGCTCCGCTGTGCTCGTGCGCAAGTGCTAGCGATTCAGTGAGATCGTACAACGACATCTAAGTCGCCCACGCCGCCCGCTCGCCTCTGCCCGCCGCGGCACGATCAAGCGGGGCCAACTCCACAACGAACAGCGGGAGACGAGGGTCGCGTGCAGCTGCTAGATGCAGGGCAGCCCGGACACGGCTTTTCCGACGCTCCACAGTCTCCAACCAGGCGTCCAGCAGCACCAGCAGCGCGACCAGCCCATCCCCGTCTCTGGCGATCCTCATCAGCGTCTGACGCTCACCGACCCGTACGCGGCGATTAGAGCGGCTCAGATGGACCAGCGAGTACATCAGGACGCGTCGGTGAACGCAGGCGGCGGCCTTCTGGTCGGCGCTGGAGGAGCGGGAGCAGTCCGTCCCTCAGCAACCGTCGGGGCAGGTTCTGGGTCTGGAAACGCCGCCAAGGGCGCTTCGACGAACAGTGGAGGAGCATCGACCGCGAGGAAGCGGACGGCGGACGACTTGGCGAGCGGCGGAGGATCGACCAGGGCCGGCGGACGAGGGAACGGAGGGACAGCCGAGAAGAAGAAGCGGAGCAAGGCGGCTTGCGCGAGCTGCAAGAGCGTCAAGCAGAAGTGCGTCTCCTCCTACAGGTGTCCTAAAGCGAGACGCTGGCTGACACCCTTCGCTTCGCAGATGCGAAGGGCCGCCTTACGGTGCGCTCAAACTGCCTCTATCCGCTTGTATTCGTGCTCACGCCTTGCTTGACAGTCCCTTGCCGACGATGCGAGCTCTACAAACTCGAGTGCAAGTTCCCGCCCGGCACGAAGACGATCCCCCGACCTCCCGATAGCCCGGCGGCGGACACTAGCTCGAGCGAACCTGCGGTTCTCAGCAGGATGGAGAAGTGCGTCTACCCGCTTCCTAGTGCTGGAGACGTGCTGACGACTTCCGCCCAGGCTTCTCTTCGAGATGACGACGCGTATGCGGACTGTCGAGTCTGCGCTCCACATCAACCCTTCCGCCAACGCGGCCGACGACGACTCCGTCGATGCCTTCCCCAACCGCGACCGTTCTCCCTCTCCTAACTCGTCCGAAGACGGCAACGACACGGACGACAACGCGAGCGTCACGAGGCATCTCGCTGCCTCGGCAAACCCGCTTCACGAGATCAACGCCACGATCGACTCAATCCAGGGTGCGCCGGCGCCGCGCATGTCGGTGATGGAGATGAGCGACTACGGTTCGCCGGACGTCCTGCGGCGCGGGGTGTTGAGCCCGGACGAGTGCCAGCAGCTCTTCGACTTTTTCTTCGCTTCGCTTCATCCGTGGGTGATGATGCTCTCCCTTGACGAGGACCGCAACGCCATGGCGGTACGAACCAAGTCGCCCCTCCTCTTCCACACGATCCTCCTCCTCGCGACCGCCTACTCCTCGCCCTTCCCTCAGCAACTCCACCTCACCCTCGTCACCTTCCTCAACGCCATTCTTGCTCCGCAACTCCTCAATCCGCAGCCACACGAGCTCACGACCGACTTCCTGCGCGCGATCGACCTCCTCAACCTGTACAAGCCGACCCAGTTCGGCGCGCGACGACTCGAAGGTCTCGACGACAAAGACGCGATGCGACACTCGAAGCTCAACGGTCTCGCGAGCTGGATGCTGCAAGGTATCCTTGCGCGTACGGCAGAACGACTGGACCTGAAGGACGTTGTGAGCAAGTTCTCGCGCGCCTACTCGGCCAGCGCGAGCGGTCAGCCGATTCCGAAGGACCTCTTGCGCGACCTCCGGCTCTACTACTGGCTACTTTCGAACGACGTACACGGAAACGTCCAGAGCGGAAGGAGGTGCAATATGGAGGGCGCGCAGGCGCTCACCACGACCCGGCTGTTCTCCTCGCTCGCCCTTCAGCCGTTCGACGTTCGGTGCGTTGCCTTCCCCCGCGCATGGTCTTTAGACGACTGCTGACGCTTTTTTGTACAGCCTCGCCGCCTCAGTCGAGATGTTTGAAGTTGCGCGCCCGATCCTCCGAAGCTACAGCTACGAGCGCACGCGGAGAATCCCCAAGCCCGACCTCGAGCGGTACAACCAGGGTATGCGCTCGTTCGACGACACCTGGATCCCGGTGCTCATTCGCCAGCTCGGAGTTGACCCGCTCGCAATGACGGTCATCTCGCCTTTCAGGGAGTTCATCACCCTCCAGGTGCGCGCCCTCCCTTTCCGTCTGGCGTCCTCGGCATGCTGACTGTCTTGCTCTCACAGTTCCACGTCACCTGCTACACCTCGTGGAAGAACACGCGCATGTACGCCTCGTCGGACGGCTCGAGCAGCGAAGGCCGACCGTCGAGCAGCAGCGACAACCGACCGAAGCGGATGCGTACCGACGGACCGCGCAGCCTGAATGACTGGGAGTACGAAGGCATCCAGCGCCTCGTCAAGTCGGCCGAGTTCCTCCTCTTCTCGCTCAGCGAGGAGAGCCGGGTCGTCGGCCAGTGGAGGAAGGTGCAGTGGGAGGAGGCGGAGCGGTCGGATGGCTGGAGGAAGCTCATCCTCGACGACCAGATGGTGGAACAGAGCAAGTGGGGCATGGACGCGATTGTGCGTGCTCTTCGCTCTTCCTCGATATTGCGTTCTGACGAGCCTCTCCTTGGCAGACTTGCGTCGCCTACGCCTTCCCCATGACTTTCCTCACCAAGCTCATCGGAGAGGTGCGTGTCAGAACTGTTTATTCGGGTGCGCAGTAGCTGACCCTTGCTCCGACAGGGCCTCGTGACGGCGAACCTCGTCGTCAACCGCACCCCGACTCCCCAACCGCCCTGGCTCTATACCCAGAAGCTCCCTCGCCTCCTCGAACTCGGGGCCGCCTTTCTCGATGCTGTTGCGACGAACGACTTGCACCCTTCGCGCGCGCAGGCGAACGTCGTGCGAATGCTGCTCGAGACGGGCGTCAAGGGTCGCTTGCCTTCGCCGACTGCCAACAACGCCCCTGTAAGCGCAATTTTCGTTTGCAGTCACGGATGTTGAGCTGACAGGACTATGTTCGCAGATCTCGTTCGCCGGCGCGGCCAACTCCTTCGCGCCCGGCCAGGCACAGCAGCAGCGCGTCCAGCAGGCGCCTGCGGCCTACCCTCCTGCGGCACACCCGTCCTGGGCGACGTCGCAACCGCCTCCGCCTGGCCAAGTCTACGGCGCTGGCGCCGGCATCTACGCGACTGTCCCGCCCAACTCGAACCCGACTCCTCCGACCGCTGCGGCCGTGCCGATGGACGACGCGCTCGGACTCGTCTTGAACGACTTTGAGCCGCTGTTTGGCGAGTCGTGGCAGTGGGGTTTCGGGCCGAGCAGCGCGGATCCGCAGACGATGCCGACGCCGCAGACGAGCAGGTTGACACCCGCTGCGTTGGGCCAGCCTGGGTCGGACGTCGACTGGTCGGCAGTGTCGGGTGCGTTGCTTTGCGCTAGTCTCGCAGGACGACGGAGCTGACCTGACTCGCTTCCCGCCAGCTCTCACGAACCCGCTCGCGCCGCCGCCCAACTAAGCCGTCATTGGATTTCCTTCTCTCCTCCTATTACTCTCACCATCGCGATATACATCTGTTGTTCCCTCGAAAACCCATTCGTGCCGACTCGCTATACTCTCTCAGTAAAGTCCCATCTGTGTTGAACGTCCATGATATCCGATATCATATTCCAGCGACCTCTTGCTCGTCGCTACGAGAGCTCAATCTGCCCTGCGCATCGAATGACTCCCATGGCTGGCCGCTGACGAGCCAGCCTGCGAAGGGTCCGTCTGCGCTGCGAACGAGCGACTTGAGGCGTTGGTAGCGCGCGGCGGGGGAGGAGGGAGGAGCGGAGTGTTTCGCTTGGAAGTAGGTGAGCGAGGGAGGGCTGCGAGTGGGGAGAGAAGGGAGGTTATAATAGGAAGGTCCGCGAGGAGGAGACGGGCACGCACGGTTTCGTCGAGTCCAGCTGTGCTTGAAGCGCGCTTTGCGTCTCGAAGAGACTGAGTTTGGAGAGGCGGGACCTGAGAGAGAGGGGTTAGCGAGGTGCGCAAGACGCCATGGGCGATGGATCCGGAGGAACTCCCATGCGACTCTTCCGCGGACCAACAGGCACTCGCACTCACCTTCGCTTCGCATCGAGCGGTTCTCCAGGCTTGCGCTTGTTCGACGCGCCTTGCCGGATACCGTTATTGATGCCCTCGACGGCGGGAAGAGAGGAGGGTAGGTCGGCGACAAATGAGAGGGCTGCGTGAGTGCGTCGCTCGTCAGCGTCTGGGCCCGCACAGCTTCAAGAGGGCTGTGAGGGACAAAGAGAGGTTACGTACACTCGCCGCAGCTCAGGACGTCTGTTAACTCGCACCCTTCCTTCGCCGCAACGACTTCCCTCGAATGCTCGAAATCGCGGTCCGTGAAAGCAGCCTTCGGCACGCTGAACTCCCCCTCATCCAACCCCGACCGCCGCGCCCAGTCCTCGAGTCGCCCGCCAATCGCTCTCCTCACCTCCTCGCCCACCTTCTCCCTCAACTCCTCCTTGATTCCTCCAACAACGACCAAACTCAGCTTGACTTTCTCCACTCCGTCGCCTAAAGCACTCAACAGACCTCCCTGCATCCCGAGCAGAGCCCAAAGCGCAAGTTTGTCGCTACAGGAATGGGAGGTCGTAGGTGGTGAGTCGGCGCGGCCGGGTTTGGTGCGCAAAATGGAAAGGGCGGAGTAGGCTACTCTGCCGCGGTGCACTGTTGGGGGAGTCGCAGGGGCTGAGGATGTTGACGGGCAGGTGGGAGAGGAGCGAGAGGTGTGCAGTCCGAGGGAAGCGGCTTCGACGAGGGCTTGGTGAGGCGTCGCAGGGGTCACTGACGACGGCAGCGTCTCCGCAACGACAGAAGACGACGTCTGCGGCACTTCTGGCGCAGCAGGTGCATCGGACGGCGCGCTAAGCGAGAGAAAGAAAGTCGAAGCGTCGCCGCCTGCGAGAAAACAACGGTCAGCTCGCTCACAACGCGGCGGGACGGAGTCGTACTCACAAGGCAAAGTGCTGATGTACATCGCGACCTGCCACTCGCTTCTCAGCGCCCACGATCCCCTCGCCGTCCGCTCGAAGTACCTCCTCTCCTTGCCGTCTCCTCCTGCTCCCTCTCGCTCCTTTCCCTTGCCCCGCTCGAGCTCTATCTCCCGCTCAATCTGTCTGTACATCCATCGCTTGAAGCCTCGACGAGCTACGACCTCGGCGTGCGAGTCGTGCAGGACATCGCCGTGCACAGGCAGTCGAGCGTGAGGAAGCGCTTTCAGGCCGGTCCTGGAGGACGAGGAGGTCAGCGGGCGCTCGTACGGAGTGCCAGGGGTTTGCACTCACCCTATTGACACGCAACGAGCCTGCTCGTCGCGATACAGGACCACCGCTGCTAGGACGGTCCATTCGGGGTGGTTGCTCGAGCGACGCCTGGGCTTGCCGTTCGCTGGAAGAGCGGCGTAGCAGGAGAGTGCAGCACGAGTAACGACTTCGTGCAGCTGGGCGTGTGCCGTATCGCCCATTCCTCCTCATGTCCCTCTCGCGACGTCAATCACCGAGACCTGGAGGTTCGGACACTTCGCCTCTTGACAACGAACCATTCGCTTGCTTTCCTTGCTCTGTGCTCTTTCCTGACGAGGCTCGTGCTACACATCGAACCGGTGCGACACGCGAATGGCTGGCCTCGTCGCTCGCATCCGCTCCAACCCCCACCTCCGCTTCCTCACGCCCCCGATCCTCGTCGACTGGGCCGTCGTGCTCATCCTCGGACAGGCGACATACTACGTCGAGCAGATCTACCCCTACGAGCGCGACCCAGCGCACTACCTCAACGACCCCGACTTCCAGTGGCCTCACGGAGGCGAACGAGTCCCTGCGTATCCAGGCAGCCTCCTCGACCAGTTGACCTGGTACCTGCCCATCCTCGTCATCGTCCTCGTGGGCGGCCTCTTCAAACGGAGCTTGCATGACGTCCACCACGGCATCCTCGGACTGAGCGCAAGTCGGGCGTTCATGCGTATGATCGTCGAGTGCATCAAGAACAGGGTGCGTTTTGATCTCTTTTCAGCTCTACTTATCGTGCTGCTCGTGCTGAACATGGTTCGCGCGCAGGTCGGCCGCCTCCGCCCCGACTTCTTCTCCCGCTGTCAGTGGGACGCCGTTGCGCACGCCTGTACCGGCCCTCTTGCCCTTGTAAAGGACGGCAGGCGCAGCTTTCCATCCGGCCACTCGTCGACGGCGTGGCAAGGGCTGTTCTTCCTCAGCTTGTACCTAGCCGGGAAGAACGGTGGATTCCCACCCCTCGCCTCTCTGCGTTGCTTTCCTCTGACGGTTTCGGCGAGTACAAACAGGCGCCTATGCGTTCGCGGCCCCCTTCCCTCGCTCAGGACCCCTCCAATCCCGCCTCCTCCGCCTCTCGATCGTCCTCGCACCGCTCTTCGTCGCAGGGTGGATTGTCGTGACTCGTCTAGAAGACCACTACCACCGTTCGTCCTTGCCTCTCCTTCCTCCTGCCTTCCTCACTCATTAACCCTGAGTTTGACCCGTGCAGACCCAACCGACGTCCTAGCCGGCTCCTTCATAGGCGCCTCGACCGCCTTCTTCTCCTACCTAACCTACTACCCCTCTCCACTCATTCTCTCCACCCCGCCGGGGTCGGAAGAAGCGGAGGAGAGACTGAGGGTTATGGAGCGCCCGAAGATGGTTTATGGAGTCAAGGAGGTGAGTGATGGGTGGGAGGAGGGGGAGAGGGTGGAGGAAGGGAGGGTGAGGTTGGGCGGTGCGGATGGGGAGGTGGTTGTGTGAGGCTGGCCGAGCTTAGAACATGCGGCGAGGCGGTCGAAGTAGACTTTGGCGGAGGCTTTCTCGTACGAGGGGACACAGGCGATGTATTGGACTAGCTTTATTGATCAATCAGAAAGCTATTCTATACAGTCCTACATCCGTTCCTTCCGACGCACCGCGCACACCATCCGATCCAAGCGAAAGACGTCGAGGAACCAGTACAACACTCCTCCTCATCCTCCGGGGTATCGCCAACTCCAGCTCGAACTGAAGGGTAAAGGGGGATCACATAAAGTCGCCACGGATACGGCGGACGAGTTGCATGTCGCGCTGCATGATTGTGACGCGTTTGGCGTGCAGGGCGCACAGGTTGGAGTCTTCGAAGAGGTGGATGAGGTAGCTGTGCCACGGACAGTCGCGTCAGTCTACTCGTACAGCCTGGATGAGGTCCCTGCTCGCTTGAAGCGAGAGCTGGAGCACAAGGAGTTGGAAGAACCGAGACGCACGCTTCTGTCGCCTCTTGCAGCGCCAACAGCGCCGAACTCTGCCACCTCAACCCAGGCGCGTTACCCTCCTCGTCGTCCGCCAAGAACTCCATGGCAATCTCTCGTACCTGTGCGGCAACCGGTAACATTCATCAGTCTTCTCCTCCTGGAAGTCTCGAGAGCAGACTGAAAGCGGGAACGGCTTGACGCACCAACCGCGCGAAAGGAAGTCGCCGCAACAAGAGATCCGTGCCCTTCTGGTAATGCCGGATCTCTTGCAGCGCGCGAGTGCCCGGTCGGAAGCGTCGGGGTTTGCGTTGAACGGGTTGGGCGGCGGGTTGGCCGTCTGTAGGCAGGTGCGCGGGGTCAGTACGTTCGAGAGAACCGTAGAGATCGGCTGAGAGCTCAAAACAGCCTCTCTGACGCTGCTGTCGAGCTCATCACGCCGCCCCAAGTATCTCGAAGGAGTGACCCTCTCGCAGAGCCGCCGCGAAGCCCGCAAAGCGCCTCCAGCAAGCCTCAAAAGCTTCAAAGAGTGTGGGAAGCTGCGACTCACGCCTCGTCTTGCCGCCAGTGCTCTTCCTGGGACCCTTTCCAGCCCCACCTCCGAGCGTCTTTCCCGCGACCTTTTTCTGCACGACCGCCTTCTTCGCGACCACTGTCTTCTTCGCAGGCTGTTTGCGAGGCGTCTGTGCCATCGTCTGGGGTGCTGGAGGCGGTAGGAGGCTGAAGAGTGATGTCAATCACAAATGGAGGAGGCGAGACGCGGGTGACGGCTCGTTTGCGCGCGTTCGAAGCGGTGCGGCGAGTGATAGAGGGTCCAGTGAGCGTGTATGAGCGTGCACAGGCCAACAGCGGGGCGGAACAAGCGAGTTGAAGAGTTGGTCGCCAGGAGAGGGACGGCGACGACGACTTGGAGATGGCGACCTCGCTCGACTCGCTCAGAAGGGCTCGCCGAGGGCAGATTGGATCAGCTGGGACTCTTACGACGCTGTTAGCCCCGCTCGGACACACCGCGCTGACGTGCACCGGCGAGTCAAGTCTCCACTTTGCGGGTTCCCTTCGTCGACGCTCTCGCGCTCTTTCTGTCGCTCTGCTGGTCTCGCTAGACTCACAACGACGATGGCACGAGCCTTGGAACCCATCGAGCTCGACGCCATCACGCCCGCGCCGCCGTCGCCAGCGCACTCGCGTCCCTCGACCCCTCCCTCGCTCAAAACCCCCACATCCTCGTACCCACCCTCAGAGATCCTGCCGACGACTGGGAACGGCTTCTCGACGACGGAAACGACGAGACAGTCGAGCTTGCGAAGCCTGAACCTCGAGCACGGGGAGGGGACGGCTGTCTCGCTTCCTCCCATGGATCGTGGACGAGGAGCGTGGCAGTTTGTTGTGGCCGCGTTCATCCTCGAGTGCGTCCAGTGTCGACCCCCGAAAGTGTTGCGCGCCCGCCGCTGACCCTTGCGCTCCGCAGGACCTTCATCGCAAGTCTCGACACTCCTCTTTTCCGCTCCTTCACCCTGACCGAGGCTTCCTTCAAAGCAGTGGGGCTACAGCTATTCGTTTGCGACAATCCTCGTATACCTCCAAAGCACCCCTCCATGGTCATCCTCCTCGCTGTCCGCCCTCTCCGCCATCGGATCCTGTCAACTCGGAATCCAGTTCTGCCTGCCCATCGCCATCGTCATCGTCTTCCGACGGTATCCTGACTGGGTCAAGACGAGTCTTTGGGTGTCGCTCGTTGTCAACTGCGGAAGTATGCTCCTCTCGAGCTGGGCGACCAAGGTGCGCCGTATTCCGTCCTTTTGCCGAGCCGGCTCTTTCGCTCGCGACTCCGGAAGCGGCGGACTGCTGCTTGAGTGTGACGAGAACAGTCGACTGACCCGCATTCATCGCAGGTCTGGCAACTCATCGTCTTGCAAGGCGTCGTCTGCGGCACGGCCGGCGCGATCCTCTACGCTCCCGTGCTCATTTGGCTCACAGAGTGGTTCCACGAGCGCCGCGGTCTCGCAGGCGGCATCATCTGGAGCGGGACCGGCATCGGCGGATTCCTGTGCGTCCCCTTCCTCTCCTCCCCAATGTCTCGCTGACGGGCGTTCGACAGCTTCCCCTTCCTCATCTCCGGCCTACTCTCCAAAGTCGGTTTCGCGTGGATGATCCGCGTCTGGTCCCTCCTCACCGCCGTCGTCTTCGCCCTCTCGGTCTACATCGTCAAGCCTCGCATCCCGCCGCCGAGAGTCAGGAAAGGCGAGCGTGGGCCATGGCCGGCTTTCCCATGGAGAGTGCTTACAGACCCGGTCTTCGTGACGATGGTGAGTGCGCTGCCTTCTTCAGATTGGTCGTCGGCTGACGATCATGCTCCGGCAGGCCATCGCCTCTCTTTTCGCCTCCCTCTCGACCTTCCCGGTCTCGCTCTACCTCGCCACCTACGCCTCCTCACTCACGACCTCCACATTCGTCGCCGAAATCGTCGTCGGGATCTACAACGTCGCTGCATCGGTCGGCTGCACCGTCCTGGGTTACGTCTCCGACTGGTCGTACACGGCCGCGACGATCTTGTGCGGCGTTCTCGGAACTATCATTGCGCTTTTTGCATGGGGTTGGGCGGATACACTTGCAAAGACGTACGGGTTTGCGGTCTTGTTTGGCTTTTCCTCGCAGATGATCGTGTGCGTCAGGCCTCTCTCCTCTCTCTCCTCAAGTGGCGCTCACCCTGGGAACAACACAGCGCCTGGTCCGGTGCCACCCGCGACGTAGCAGGCCAAGACCCCTACGCCGCCGCGATCACCTTCTGCCTCCTCTCCTCCGTCCGCGGCATCGCATCAATCGTCATGCCGCTCGTCTCGCAAGGCTTGTACAACCCCAAGCTCAAGAACGACGCGACGAGTTGGGGAAGGTTTGGGTTCGAAAAGATGATCGTGTTTGGTGAGTTGCGAGCGTTTCTTTTGGATGACGAGTGAGGTCGAGGCTGATGGCTTCGAGGGCGCAGTTGGAGTGACGGCGTTTGCGTCGGCGGTTGGAGGGCTCGCGCTCGAGTACATGCGGAGGAAGTACAAGAAGGCGTAGACATTAGCGGCAGAACAGGAGAAGGTCGAGGGAGAAAATGTACATCTTTGTTGACGCCCGCTCGCTCGTCGCCGGGTCTCTCGCTTGTGTCAAGACCTTGATAGCGTGTCTCTGAGCTCACTAGCGGACGGTGACTGCCACAAGAGCGAGGTCGAGGGAAGCCCTTCTTCACAACTCGCCTCCTCCTCCTCCTTCTTCCCATCTCCTCGCTTCGTCTCGCTCGTATCGCTCTGGCTTGATCCCTTACGGCTACTGCATTCTTTAGGATTTGGCAGACTCGCTCGCACAGCCTTATTGGTGCGTCCCATCCTACTTTCCGTCTCTCCGCCGATAACTGATGAAGCGGTCGGTCGGGAGCAGCACACGCGCTGAGACGCTGTGCGACCGCAGGCCTCGCTGGACTCGATCCCCGCGATCTCTCCAGGGCTCGCCAGGCGCAAGCATGCGGAGCGCGAGTCGGATTCGACGCAGACGCACGCTTCTTTGGCCTCTTGCGGCGTCAACAACGTCGGGATGCGCAGAGCTTGAGTCTCGAGCGGTGCAGCCGATGTTAGCGAGGGCACGCTGGTCGTCGAGCAGGACGAGCGCCTTCGAAGCTTGACTCCACGGCAAGCCACCGCGGATTTACAGGTCGGACCGGTCGCTCCGCTCGACTCGGGGCTCGGAATGAACGCCCTCGTTGACTTTGCTGGGACTCCTGGCGTGTGCTTCCACGGTCGCTCGGCGGACTCGGACGGATGTCGACCCAAGAGTCAATTCTTCCACTTTTCCTCTCCCATTTCGCCGCACGCTCTTTGCTTCACTCTGCTAGTCTCGCCAGATCTGCATTGGCGATGTCACGACGCGTTGAGTTTGATACAATCACGCCCGCGCCGCCGTCACCCGCTTACTCGCGACCTTCCACACCGCCTTCCCTTGAACCCCGCACGTCTTCGTACCCGCCTTCGGAGATCCTCCAGTCGATTGGTGATGGCGTCTTGACGACGGAGGCGACAAGACAATCAAGCTTGCGGAACCTGAACCTCGAGCAGGGAGAGGGAACCGGCGTCTCGCTTCCTCCGACGGACAGAGGTCGAGGAGCGTGGGAATTCGCCCTGGCAGCTTTTATCCTCGAGTGCGTCCACCTCTTCTTCCTGCGCGTGCTGCGACTGCGGCTGACCCGCCTGCACGCCCGCAGAACCTTCATCGCAAGTCCCGACGCTCCGCCTGTGCATTGCTTCACCTGACCGAGCTCTTCTCGCACACAGTGGGGCTACAGCTACTCCTTCGCCACAATCCTAGTATACCTTCAAAGCACTCCGCCATGGTCTTCCTCATCGCTCTCCGCCCTCTCCGCCATCGGATCCTGCCAGATCGGAATCCAGTTCTGCTTGTCACCTTTCGTCGTGATTGTCTTCCGACGGTACCCTGACTGGGTCAAGGCCAGCCTCTGGGTCTCGCTTGTCGTCAGTTGCGGCAGCATGCTCCTCTCGAGCTGGGCGACCAAGGTGCGCTCGTTTCCTTCGTTTGCTCCCATCTCGCCGTACCTAAGTCGGCCCGCCCTAGCGCTTCTGCCAAAGCTTCAGAGGAAGGGTGACTGACACGTTCGTTCTGCAGGTCTGGCAACTCATCGCCTTGCAGGGCATCATATGCGGAGCGACTGGCGCGATTCTGTACACTCCCGTATGGATCTGGCTCATCGAGTGGTTTGTGGAGCGTCGCGGACTTGCAGGCGGCATCATCTGGAGCGGAACAGGCATCGGCGGATTCGTGTAAGTTCCCATCTCCTCCTTCCGAGGCCCTCGCTCACGGTTGACGCTCGGTAGCTTTCCCTTCCTCTTCTCCGGCCTACTATCCAAAGTCGGCTTCGCCTGGATGGTCCGCGTCTGGGCCCTCATCACGGCCGTCGTCTTCGCGTTCGCCGTCTACATCGTCAAACCTCGCATCCCGCCGCCAAGGGTCAGGAAGGGCGAGCGTGGTCCTTGGCCGGCTTTCCCTTGGAAGGTCTTGATCGATCCGATCTTCGTGGGCATGGTGCGTCGTCAACGCATTCGACCCGGTCGACCGCTAACGCTGCTCGCCGCAGGCTCTTGCCTCTCTTTTCGCCTCACTCTCGACCTTCCCCGTATCGCTCTACCTCGCTACCTACGCCTCGTCGCTCACCACTTCGGCCTTTGCGGCGGAGATCGTCGTGGGGATATACAATATCGCCGCATCAGTCGGCTGCACCGCGTTAGGCTACGTCTCGGACTTGTCGTACACGGGCGCGACGATCTTGTGTGGCGTCCTCGGGACAGCCATTGCGCTATTCGCGTGGGGATGGGCGGACACGCTGGCGAAGACATACGGTTTCGCGGTCTTGTTTGGCTTTTCCTCGCAGATGATCGTGTACGCTCCTCTTCTATTCCTCGCCTCTCAATCTGCGCTAACCCTCGTGCTCGCAGTGCGTGGTCCGGCGCTACCCGCGACGTAGCAGGTCAAGACCCCTACGCCGCAGCGCTCGTCTACTGCCTCCTCTCGGTCGTCCGCGGCGTCGCGTCAATGGTCATGCCGCTCGTCTCGCAAAAGCTGTATGACCCAGCGCAGAAGGGTGATGCGACGAGCTGGGGACGTTTCGGATTCTTGCGGATGATCGTCTTTGGTGAGTTGGGAGCTTCTCTCGCTGCAGGGCATCAGGGCTGACGAGTCTGTCCTTGCGCAGTGGGAGTGACGTCGTTCGTGTCGGCAATTGCGGGCGTCGCGCTAGAATTCATGCGGCGGAAGTACAAGAAGGCGTAGAAGTCGCCGTCTCCTGGGAATGCATCGGTTGAACGGCAACGAACCCATTCCTTGACAAGCCGGCGTACTCGACGGGAACACAGCGACGCAAAATGCCTACGGTGGCTGCCTGAACCTCTGCGCGCTGGTCCTTACGCTCAGACTTGTCGCTTGTTCTCCTCCGTCTCCCCTTCCTCGCTCGCTTTCGACGCATCCCAGGTCAAGGAGTTTCCTAAGGCGCTTGGGTGCTCCGTACGACGCTCTTCGCACCTTGTTGACAGAGCTCGCCTGCTTGACCCTCGGGCCTCCTCGACCCCTCTCTTTTCATCAGTCGACCCGTTCTCCCTCATCCTCCTCGCGCCACACCCGCTCAATACGCTTGAACACGCACACGATGGCCAAGAAGAAGAGCAAGAAGGGTTCTACGGCTACGCCCAAGCCGTGCGTCGCGCGCGCCTCTCTCGCTCGCCACTCTCAGCGACCTGACTTCGAGCGCGTTTTCTTGCCTCTCGCTCGCAGTGCGGCGCCTCAAGCTGGCTTGCCAGGCTCCAATGGAATCGTGCACGAGCAGCCCAGGCCCGCTCGCGCGCAGAAGCCGACTGTGAACGGGACAAGTTCGCCTGGACCCTCTCCTCCCGGGTCCTTGCCTCCCTCGACACACGCTCAACACCCTCTCACACTTCCAGCAACCCCTCCTCCCGCCGAGCGCACTCCACAAGACACGGTCCGCGAGGCCTGCGACCTGCTCGAAGTCGGTCTCTCCGGCGAAGCCTACTCGCTCCTCCTCTCGTCCTCGTCGTCTTCGCTCCCCGCCCCGCACCCCTCCAAAGCAGCCGAGATCGAGCGCTTGGCGGGACACGTCTCGTCTATCAAGCTCGCGCTGCGGGAGAAGCAGTTCGACCGCGCTTTGAAAGAGTGGAACGAGGCCAAGCTCCTTTGGTCAAAGGAAAGTGGGAGGGGAGGTGGAAAGCACAGGGGCGGGCCGTGGGCTGCCAAGGTGTGGAAGTTTGAGGCGCTCGAGGGCGCGAGGAAGTGGGGCGAACTCGAGAAGTTTGCGAGGTGCGCGGCAGTCTTCACCCTCTGAGTCGAGGCGAAGCTGACCTTTCCCTCGCGCTCAACGCAGCGACACGCTCGGCACCAAGCCGCAAGACCGCCAGCTCGTCTTCTACTACAAGACGCAGGCGCTGTACCAAGTCGGCAAGTTCGCGGACGCTACGACCGCCATTTCGAGCGCGCAGGAAGCGGTCGCGGGACCTATGATTGAGAAGGTCAAGTGAGTTTTGCGCCGGTTTCCTTGCTCGTTCTCGCTCGTGTGCAGGCTGGAAGCGACGCCTATGGCCTCAGTAAACGATCTGCTTCAGTCCCGAGGCGTTCGCCCAGACCCTTATGCGAGCGTGACTGATTCCCGCCCCTCCGCCTCGTCAGGATCCTCGCCGACCGCATCCGCCGGGTCCGCACGCTCAAAGACGAAGGCAAGGAAGCTTTCGACGCTGGTAAGTACAAGGTGGCGATCGGCAAGTACACCGACGCGCTCAAGGTCGATACGGGCAACAAGGCGGTCCAGGCGCTGTTGTACCTCAACCGCGGGTTGGCGCTTTACAAGGTGCGTAGCGAAGCTTACTTGATTGCTACCGTCCGCCGGGATTACCCGATCAGAGAGTCGGTCCTGACTGCGCAAACTCCCCCTGGCGCAGAACGACGGCGCCCTCCAAGCTATCGAAGGCTTGACCGCTTCCATCTCCCGCGCTCCTACTTGCAAAGCCTACCGCCTCCGCTCCCTCGCCTACCGCAAGCTCGACGACCTCGCGAACGCCCTCAACGATTTGATCAAAGCCGCTTCGCTCGCTCCTCCCGACAGCGCTGAGAAGAGGCAGATCGAGAAGGAGAGGGATGAGGTGAGGAGTGAGAAGTTGAAGGGGGATGCGGAGGAGAGGAGGGAGGAAGAGGAGAGGAGGTGGAAGGAGAAACAGGCGAAGAGGAAGGTGAGTTTGGCGGGTCCTCAGGTTGTCGCTCTTGACGCTGACGGAGGGTAAGAGCTGACTAGCTGTCGAGTGCCGTCGCCACTCACAGGACCACTATGGCATCCTCGGCATCGACCGCGGCGCGACGACGACCGAGATCCGTGCCGCGTACAAGAAGCTCTCGCTCGAGACGCACCCGGACAAGGGCGGCGATGAGGAGCGCTTCAAGGAGGTGCGTTACCGACCCGCTCTTACGAATGCTGGCGCTCGAGCGCTGACTACAGCTTCCCGTCAAACTGCGCTGCGACTTCGCAGGTCAAGGCGAGCTACGAGTTCCTCTCGGACGAGCGGCGCCGCGCGCGCTACGATATGGGCGACAGCGTGCGTCTCCGTGGCTCCCTAGCGGGTAGATAGAGCGCAGGAACTGACGACCATCTTCGCTCGCAGGACGCCGAAGGACCCGACTTTGACGACATGTTTGGCGGTGGCGGCGTCCCCTTCGCCTTCTTCTTCAGCGACTTCTTCCACACGTGTTCGCATGGCGGTGGAGGCGGCCGCGGAGGTGGCCGTGGGCGTGGGAGGTAAGTGGGACGCGAGGTGCGGTCGCTTGTTTCGAGCCGGGCTTCGCGCCAGCTCACGTGTTCGGTCTCTGTGGTTTGTTGTCGTCGTCTGAAAATGTACACACTCGCTTTGCACGCTCACGTCGCGAAGAAGAGATCCAGCGAGTCGACAGGGGAGCCTTGCACCGCCCAAAGTCCCAGCTTGACCTCGTCCACGCCTTCACACTCGCTTGACGGGCTCAGCAGCGCTCTCTAGCATGGCAGACCGACCTCAACCCTCAGCCGACGAGCTCGCCGCTTTCCTCGACTGCTGCCGCTTTGGCGACGTCGAGCAGGACGACTTGGGCGACATCCAGCGCTTTGCGGCGCACTACGGCGACGAGTGGCTTGCAAAGGCCAAGGACGACCGAGGGAACACTGCGCTGCATATGGCGGGCGGGAACGGGCACACCGGTGAGTTTCGCGAGCGTCTGTCGAGCCCAGGACGGGCGACGAGGAGATGAAGGGCGTGAGGGGCTGCGAGGGCTTTGTGGGCGCGTTTAGGCTGCTTGTTACAGTCAGAACATGTGTTCAGTCCAGCTCATGCCCTCTCACACCGGCCTCGCCGCGTTGTCGTACTCTCGCTGACCTCTTGCTCCTCGTCCAACCCCTCTCTTCTCTCCCTCGCTCGCAGACATCGTCCGATGGCTCCTCCCTCGCCTCCCCGAATCAGCCCTCATCGCTCAAAACGACGCCCTCTCGACGCCTCTCCACTGGATCGCCCTCAACTACCACCTCCCCATCCTCGAACTCCTCTGCCCCTTGCTCCCCCTCTCCGCCTTTGAAATCAAGAACCAGCACGGCAAGACTGCAGTACAGGAAGCCGAAGAGGCTTGCGAGGCTTTCGTCGTAGGAGAGGCAGATCAGGAGACGGAGAAGGGGAAGGAGAGGGTTAGGAGGGAGAAGTGCGTCGCGTATGTGCTAGGATGCATGGGACTGGGAGTGAAGAAGCCTACGGGTGGGGATGAGAGTAAGGCCGAGGAGGCGGAGGGAGAGGTCAAGGCGGAGAGGGGTGAGGACGACGAGACGGTCAAGCGGTTGACGGAGCAGGCGGAGAAGATTAAGCTCGAGCAGGAGGCCAAGGTCAAGCAGGCGTAGACCATCGTTCTTCACTCGTTGTAGACGCCGTGCGTGCCCTGTTGTAGTCCTTAGCCTTTTTCGCCGACGTCGACACGAGAGGATCCCTGGACGCGACGTCTAAACACTGCTCTAGTCGACAGCTCCCTTGCACCCGCTACCGCCACAGATGCACCTCCTGATCCCAGCTACAACTCGCCACGAGCCCCTCCTCATACAAACTCCACGCCACGCCCACCACAAACTCGGTATGCCTATCCCACACTCTCTCAATCCTCGCTCCCATCCCTCCCTGCGCCGAGAACCCACCCACTTGACCACCCCCGCCCGCAGCCGCAACGCTCCAAATCCGCGAAGTCATGTCGTATGACCCGGTAGCGAGCAGGGCAGAAGAGTGTGGAGACCATGCGACGCGCCGAACTGCGTATTCGTGGCCTAGCAGCGTGGCGATGGTCGTGTTGGGCTGGACGTAGGGCATGCCTGGAGCGGCGCCGGCGGGCGGAGTGGAGGACGCAGCGCGCATGTCGTGCACTTTGACTGTCCGGTCGACGGATGCCGTCGCTATCAGGTGCGGCGCGTACTTGTTGAAGTCGAGATCGAGGATCTCGGCGTTTGGGTGCGCGGGGATCGTTAGTTGTGGAGTCGCGAGGGCGGGTTGGCCAGGTGCAGAGGGCTGAGAAGGAGGGAGAGGGGATCGCGTGTCCCAGAGTTTGAGGGTGCCGTCGGAGGAACAGGAGGCGATGAGAGAGGGTTGGGAGGGGGAGAAGAGAGCGGAGTAGACGCAGGCGGAGTGAGCGGGGATCGTTTGTAGCGAGGCGGGGCGGTCGGGCGTCCACTGCGAGCGAGAGGCAAGGTCAGTATGAGCTCGAATGGCATAGAAGCGGCAAGAAACGCACAATCTTGATCGTGCCGTCCCAGCTGCTCGTGCAGAAGAGCTCCTTCTGCGTGTTGCTCCAGTCGACGCTGAAGACTTCCCGCTGGTGTTCGTGCCATTTCCGAATCGGAAAATCCTGTGCACAGCCGATAAGCCAATCCTCCTCTTGTGCCTGAAGCCGTTGGACTGCCGTTTTGCAGGCAACAACGGCAAGCGAGAGAGGGAAGACGCACATTCAGCATCGTATCCCACAGCTTGACGCTCCCGTCTCCGCTCCCCGTCGCAATCTGGTTCTCGTGAATCTCACTCCACGCCAGGTCGTACAGTCCATCCTGCGTGTCGAATCTGCGCCCACTCGACGAGGTTAGCCTCCTCCCCACATCCCTTCGACGAGGAGAAAGTCGGCAAAGTAGCTCGAGCGAGACGCACCCTTTTTCCACCCGCATACCCATTCCTCCCTGACCCATCGCACCCGCCGGCCCTGGCCCAGCATCCTGATTGACGACGCTCAGCCTCCCGTTCCCGACAAGTCCAAAGTTGGCTGCTCCAGCAACCGCAAGCTTGGTCGGGAAGAAGGGGGAGAAGGCGACCGAATAACAGGCAAATCTGCGGTCACAGCGAGCGTGTCAGGCGGGCTCCAAGGTGAGTGAGGGCGAAGAGGTGATGCCGGTGAGAGGTAGCCGGGTGGTGTGGTCGAGCGAGTGCGGTGGAAAGGAAGGTGCGTGGCTTACCCGTCTGTGCGCACTCGCTTGAAGGGTTGCTGACCAGGCAGAGCCATCCCGAGAGCGTGGGAGCGAGAAGAGCGAAGTGTCGAGGACAACCCGGTCCGTCGACGAGGAGAGTGGGAGTGAATGGATCGCAACAAACGTCGTGCGGGCCCTCTTTCAGCATATTGACGTTGGAAGAGCTAAAGAAGGCTATTCGACTTTATCCGACCGCAAACGAGCGAGAGCGGGAGGAGAAAGAGCGAGGAAGAGCAGTTCCGTGTGGTTCGTAGTCGCCTCGCTCGAGCATGAACACTGATTGACGGCCTATTTACAGCTGCAAAGTCGTACCGTCGACTCGCTTCGTCGGTCTATCGTCCCCACGCTTCCTTGGCCCGCTCAAAGACTCCCCTTAACCGCCCCAATCACCTTCCCAACAAACCCCTCCCCAAGCAGTCCCTGATCCTGCACCTCCTCAGTCCCAAACACCTCCTCGAACGCCTGACCGACGAACCCGAGCATCTCGCCCGTCTGCATCGAGCGCTTGTGTTTCGCGAAGGTGAGGCGCGAGGCGGTACGGGTTACGGTACTGGCGGCGTAGGCGGCGAGGAGGGTGATTTCGTGGGGCTTGATTGGGTCCCTGTGAGCGGGTGCGTGGTGAGGAGGAAAGACCAGGAAGACAGGACGTGAAAGGGAAATCAGCCTCGTCTCGCTTCCTGACCGAGATGGTCGACGCAGAAGACAGCGAGCCAAAAGCCACGCAATCCTCTACGAAAGCCTCCAGCGAAAGCGAGAAAAAGAAACGCCGGACTCACTGCTCATCCTTCGCCTCCCTCTCCTCATAGTTCTTCCCCCAAGCCAAAAACGTCCCAACCGCACCACTCAACACGTCTCCCTGACCTCCACACCTCCGGGACGAGCCGACAACCGCATTCACGAGCGTGTCCTGGCCATTGGTGATGCGGTCTTCGCGGCCTTTTTGGACGATTGTTGGGCCGGAGAGGGCGCGCGAGATGGCCGCTGCGAGTTCGGTGTCCGGCATCGACTTGGGGTCGAGGTTCTGCGCGGGAGGGAGCGTATTAGTCTCGGAACGCTCTGGGCAAAGCAACGCATCCCCGCACGACGCCCGCAAGTCGCAAACGAGAGAAAAGAACGCAAGACTCACGCAACTCTCGGCCAACCTCGCAAACTCGACCACATTCGGCGTCAGTACCGCGCGCTTGTACCCCCTGACGACATCCGGCTCGTTCTGCACGAGCCAGAGACCGTCGGCGTCGAGGACGACGTAGAGGTCGTTTTCGCGCGCGAGCGAGATGGCGGTTTTTGCGGCGAGTTGCATGTGCGGGTCGCGGCCGAGGCTGTGCGCGGGGAGTTAGCGAGAGGAGAAGGGAGCTGAGAGGTGGAGAGCGGACGAACCCAGGACCGATCACGAGCGTGTGCAAGCGCGGGAGAACGGCCTTGAGCGAGTCCGTGATCTGCTGCTCGGTACTGTTCATCGTACGCCGTCAAAACCAGCTCCTATGCTCGCATGGAGGATGGGAGCGCTGAAAGGATGGCGCGGGACGCACATGTCCTCGTGCAAGTCCGTGTGGACGATCAAGTCGGGCGAGTAGGTCTTGATGATGTCTGTCGCCGCGAGTCCAACTTCGTCAGCACAGTGACGCTACGATAGAAGCTCTGATACGCACTGCCCGCCGCTGCCTCGCAGATAACGTGCGCAAGGTCTGCTCCCTGCGAATGCACGAGCAAGAGGTCAGCCTCCGTCTCCTCCGCTGCGACAGATCCGGCCAGGATGCACCAACCGCAGCGTCGTCATGCTAGCAAAGTACGGAGCGCCCGAGTAGCTGTTCTCAACGAGCGACATCAGTTCTACTCCTCCACCTTCAGACGAACGAAAGAGCCAGGACGCACTCCCTCGACCCGCCCAGTACACCAATGCGGCCAGCCTGTCCTTTGTGTAGGTCAGGCGAGAGAGGCGGGATGAGGCGCTTGCAGCGTGCGATGCTGCACCGAGTCGAGTTGGCGGGGGACGTCAGTTCGTCCTCGAGCGAGGAGAGGAGAGGTAGAGTATGAACGCACTTCTTTGCGTGGTCTGCCATGGCTTGTTTGATCAGTCTCGTAGCTGTCGAAGCCAGATTGATGCCTGTAGGAGAGCAGAGGCAGACTTGGAGTCGTCCGGTGCGAGCGAGCACTCCAACGTCACTCCGAGTGGACGGCGTTTTGCCCCCGAGTACGAAACGACGTGGCAGAGCGTAAACCACGTCGAAGCGCGGGTGAACGAGTCGTGGCGCGTTAGGAAGGTCACTCTGCGAAAGAGTCGTCTCTCCCCGTCGCCCACTGCCTCTATCGGCGTACCACTTGGACGGAGCGTGCACCCAACGTCGACACAACGACGCTGCCGTCGTCGGTGAGCCAACACGTCCCAGCGTGAGAGCGGGAGACGCGATCGTGGATGGGCAGCCTCGACCGTTCGCACGATCGCTCTTCTCGCTTTTCCGCAGACTTGATCCCGTTGAAAGGGGTCGCAGTAAGCGAGTGCACGCACCCCTCGTAACCGGACCAAACTTGGCGGCCGCCAAACAACTTCACTCCTCTCTTGTTCTTCGTCTTTCTCGCTCACTCCAGTCACTCCTTTTCTGTTCCGGTACTTCATAACTGCTGTCGCCCAACTCGACAATGAAGTACTCCCTCCTCTTCGCCGCCGCTGCCGCCGCGACTTCGAGCGTTCTCGCAGGAGCCACCGTCGACCCGAACAACCTCCCGCACACGAGCGAGAAGGGCCAGTACGGGTACGTGTGCGCTGTTACTCGTCTGCTGAGCTCGCTGGGGCGTTGATGGGCTGGCTGGGAGCGACGAGGACGCCGTGTTTGGCGACGAGGAGGAAGTGATCGAACTGAGCGGGTCGAGCACTTTGCGAGGGGACGCGCTGGGGCTGGCGGGACTGCCTGAGCCTCGCAGTAGTCACGGAATCAGCTTGACTGGGACAGTGGACTCACGAAGCGGGCGAGACGGGGACGACGACTGTCGCGGGTTCTCCGTTCGACCAGACCCTTCGCCTGCTCCTCGCCAAAAAACAGCTTCCTGTGCTGTTAAAGCCCAGGTACTGACAGCGCAAGCCTCGCCGCAACAGTTACAACGATTGCGAGAAGTACGGCGACTCGCCCTCGTCAAAGTGCCAGACCCGTCCGTCCCCCTCCTCGTCTTTTCTTCCTTCACTCGTAGCGCTGACCTCGCCAAGTCATCTTGCAGTCCACATCGAGTCCATCAACGACTTCTGCCTCTACGCCCCTCCTCAGAAGGCCACCATCGGCGACTCGGAGCGCTATGTGCGTTCCCTCCTCTTCTTCGACGAAAATTCCGAGCTGACTTGCGTTCGTTCGTCCACGTAGGAAGTTGCGTGGTGCACCAAGGCCGGACACGGAGCTCGTCTCATCCCCGCTGGAGCGCTCAAGAGCGTTCACTACCAGAAGACGTCCAAGTGTGCGTTCCTCTCTCGTCCCTCTCCTTCCTCCTTCATTCTGGATCACCGCTGCCTGCGCGGCGCTGCTGGACCTTGTGCTGGACGATGATTGTCGCGGCTGACCCTTCGCTTGACGCGTAGACATTCAAATCACCGGCACAGGCGACTTCACCAAGATGAACGTCCCTCGCGGCGACGAAGGGGGCGAATTGGACCCGCACGGCGCTGACGGTAATGGGAATCCAGTCGGATCAGTAGTGACAAGCTCGCAGTTTGGCGGTCTGAAGCAGATCAAGGAGTGGCACCAATTCATTGGGTCGGGAGAGTTCTGCATCCGCATCTGCAACCCCTCCGACCCTGATGCGTGGAAGTGGTGCCAGCACATCTACGACGTTATGGGTGCGCTACCTTTCCTTTCTTCCTTCCTCTGTTCCGTCGGAACAGCACGGCGCCTCACCCAACGTTGTCGTTCTGCTCTCCCTTCGCTCCGCTAACCTTCCCTCATCTCACAGGCTGCATGTGGAATGACCCGGGCAACTACGGCTCCGGCTTTGACACCTGCGCCGCCGACAACGTCGCGATGCCTCCCGGCGAATACAAGCTCAAGAACGGCCAGACCTCGACCTGGCACCAGGGCGTCAACCCGACTCCTGCGGGACAAAAGCCGGCCAACTCCAGCCAGTGCGTCAAGCAGGCGACTATCTCGGCGGCTAAGTATGCGACGACCAAGCCTGCGCCGAAGCCGACGACTACTAAGAAGCCGACGACCAGTGCGTTCCCCGCTCGCCCGCGACCCTTCTGAGGGCGGAGGCTGACCGTACCCGCTTCCTTCCGGTGAGAGTAGCCAAGAAGCCGACCACGACGCACAAGAAGACTACGACGAAGAAGAAGACCACGACGCACAAGCCCGCGCCGACCAAGAAGCATTGATCTCGCTCGTCTTCCACTCATCTCTCACGTCTCCCGCGTCCTTTCGCCTTTCGAATTCTCCAAAAGCTCTTCGATCGTTCTTTCCACCGCCGTCGCTGCAGCCGTACCGCTCCTTGCCGTTCTCCGCATAGCGAAGGTTCTTGCAAACAGACATTCGTTTATTCCCATCCGGCGGTCGTCTCGCTTCCTGTCTTTCGCCGAGGTGACTCAGGGAGTGCCGCGCGAGTTGAGCAGAGAGCGGGGAGGCGTGAGATAAATAGCGAGTTGCATGCGAGAGGCGAGAGGAGGAGTGTCTGTCCGGCTTCTACGAGGAGCTAACTCTTCGGCAAGCGTATGTGCCCAGTAAGTGAGCCTCTAGATCTAGTCGACGATGTAGGCTAGGCGAGGGGGTCTAGCGGAATGCGGCGACGACGAGCTCGAAAACTGCGAAGGTGACCTGTTCCACGTTTTCGAGATCGTCAGCGTGCTCCTCGAACACCGCCACCGCTCTTCATCGTCCCGAAGACAAGAAGTCGGTCGGCAGACGAGAGCTGAGTTGAGCCGGAAGGAGCCGCGCACCATATTCACCGGCACGCTCCTAACCAGCGTCGGACCCAACCCCGCGACAAATACCCTCCACCCGGCTTCGCGATAGGACGTGCGGATGGTTCCGAGGATGTTCGAGTATTGCGCAGCCATGGCCGAGGAGGAGGAAGGGGAGAGGGAGGCTGGAGGGACGGATTGAATCTTTGTTTTGACGACGTCGAGAGGGAAGCTGTGAGTGCGTGTCAAGCCGCGACGCATCTGTCAGACCCCGTGTTCGTGCAAGGTCAGAGCAGAGGCGGCGTGCGGCGGGACTCACGTGCACCCCCATCCGACAATCCCCGCCAACCCACCCGCGAGCAACACCCTGCCCGGACTCGCCGCTCCCTCCTGTGCACGCTCACCGAAAACCTCACTCTCCACCTCCTCCCTCAAGTCCCTCTTCAAATGCCTTCTCTCGAGACCGAACGACCCGCCTCGAACGACGTATTCGTACGTGAGGAAGTAAGGACCGTAGCCGAGGTCGCGGAGGAGGGTGGCGGACCAGCCGCGGTAGAGGGAGGGGAGGGAGAGGGTGCGCAGGAGGGAGAGGAGGGAGGGTGGCCGTGTGGAAGCGGCGGCGGAGGAGGAGGATGAGGGGAGAACGGATTGTTGGAGGATTTTCAGCCGGTCGATTGGGGTGGTGATAACCCTGAACGAAGTACATTAGCTTCTCAAACTCCCGCGGGAACCGAAAGGACGAACGAAGTGAACACCCCGCTCGCCGCTCCCGCAATCGCCACCTCTCCCAGTCCCGGCTCTTTCTGCCCGTCGCCTGGCGAGAGGAGGTTCATGGTGTACTTGTAGGAGGTGAAGACTGAGGCGTTCATCAGGGCGACGCCGAGCTGCGAGCGGGAGTCGCGTTAGGCTCGCTCGCTGGGGACGGAATCGAGAGGCTCAGGAAGCGACTGACCATAGGCGACGTCTGCAAGAGCGTGAGAAGGCGTCAGGGCAGTTCAGCATGCGGAAAGGAGGGAAAGTCGCACGCACAACTCCCTTATACAGCCCTCGAACCTGTGCGTACCGGTCCGCGATATACACGCTCGTCAGTGCCCGCTCTCGCGAGGTTTTCTCAAGCGGAAAAACAACGGAACGCACCCCTTCCTCCTTCACAACCCTCACGAACGCATGCCCAGCATTGCGGTAATACAGGCTGTCCTTCTTGCCTGCTTCTCCGGCGGCGAGAGCCAGGGCAGCAGAGGGGGAGAGGGTGCGTGGTTGGGTCTGGAGACGGACTTTGACTGTGCGCACGAGCGGAAGAATGAGGGATGAGAGGGAATGGAGGAGAGTAGGAGACGAACGACCGTCAGCACAGCTTCCCAGAGCCTGAAAAGGTCAGCCAGGCGGCAGACGCACCAGTATCAAACGGATGACCCGTCACAAGACTCGCAATCCCTTTGTCCCACGCCGACAAACACTCTCATCAGTTTGCGGGTTGAACGAGCGAGAACACGAAGGGAGCCGCACCTGCGACTGTGCCGGCGAAGAAGTCTAGTGCTGGACTGATCGGAGCGGATTTGGCAGCATCGGTAGAGCTGGGAGAACCAGGCGAGGAGGAGGACATGAGCGAGAGAAGGAGGAGAGGGAGGTGGGGCGACGACGCAAGGCAGCTGCTGTACTGGCTCACGAGCGACGCTTCCGTTGAGCCGATAGCCTGTGAATCGTGAGCGCGGCGGCTTTCACGAAGCAAGCGGGGCGGCAATTCAGGAGCATCGAAGTCTCTCGCTCTGCTCTCGGGGGAAATGAGGGCGCGAACGACGGCATTGCAGGATGCCCGACATCGAGTACTGTACTAGAAATCGCGCGAACCATGCAGCGAGGCGCCGAGAGACGGGAAGCAGCAGAGAGGCCGAGGAAGCAGAAAACTGCGAGGCGGAGGCGAACGAACGGCGTCAGCTCAGCTATTCCTGCGGATGCGATCAATGCCGTGCTGCTCCTGCCCCGCGCACGCGTGCCAGACAGCCATGACTCCCGCCCCGCCCGTACTGGACGAGGGACAAGCAAGTCAAGGCCGTGCGTTGGCAAGCACCTCGCGCTCGCCCTATCGTCGAGAATGCATCGAGACTGACGTGAGTGGGATCCGCACCGGAGACTTCCGTCAGAAGCCCCCTCGGCAGTCTAAACATGCTTTGCGGTTGATTGAGTTCATCATTTGGATGAGATGGGGGCGAGCGGCGAGGATGGAAGATGGAGACGGGGAGGAGGGGAGGGACGTACGGAGAGCGAGCTTGAGCGGTGAAGAGGAGGAGAGCAGGTATAGCGCGCTCGAAAAGGAGGTGGAAGAGGCGGAGAAAGCTGAGCTGCGCCTGCGAGAATCGAGAGCAAGGTCAGCACCCTCGCTCAACTCGCAACGGTTCTCCTGCTGTGTACGCCTCGGTCATATGCTTGTCTAAAATGGGTATCTCGCCATGTCGAAGCGTGGCCATCGACCGCTCCTTGATCCCCTCCCAACAAACCCAAGGGCCCGGTCACGAAGAACGGGTTGTTCCCACCGAGTCGCCGGGAAAGGGAGGAGGGAAGACGCAGAGCGCTTCTTGGGATTCCGCAAGCCATGCACTGGGGTGTATCGTCACTGGCGCGCGCGGGAGAGAGTGCGAGACGTACGAGGAGGAAAAGTTGCTGGAGTGGTCGCGCTTGAGCGGCGCGGCGGTTGCGGATTGGTTCAGCGTGGTCAGTCGTAGTCGAGTGAGCGTTTGCAGGTAGCAGCAAGCCCCAGCGCGGTGTGTGAGCGAGCGAGAGTGAGCGGGTCGAGGGAGAAGGACGAGCGAGCAAGGAGGCCAAGGCAGTTGTATTCCGATTACAAACATGAATACAACTCGATTGTAATGCTTCACCAATACAAAATTCAATACAAACTCGGTTGTAATGCTCAAGATTACGCGGCTCCACCTCGCTCTTCGCTCCTCACACGCCAGCTGGACTCGAGCAGCGCGCACGATGCCTTCCTCGCATCGACGCTGGCGCCCACCCGCGCTCTTCCTGCCGCTCATCGCGCTCGTCGTGCTCGCGCTCACCTCCCTCGCCGCCGCCTCACCCGAAGGACCGAAACCCCAGCTCTCGCACTCGCTCTTCGACAACCTGCCTAGCAAGATCACCTACTTTGAGGACTCGCCTGTGCGTTCGAGCCCTCCCTACGATGTGGGAGGACGAGGAGGGCGAGAGGGCGAGCAAGTGGGGCGCGTGGCGTGTTGGCGGGGGAAGCGCGTTTGAAGGGCTCGGTGGGCAGTCAAGATGGAAAGTGGAAGAGTACGGGTCTATCGAGGGCGCGTACGAGGTCCTGCGAGGCGTGGTCGGGATTGGGAGGCTGGCGTGTCGAGTATCAGCTGCGAAGAGGCAAAGGGCTGCTGCTCGCTCGTGGGAGGACTGCCAGTACTCGCAGACAGTCCTGGGATCTCTACGAGACTGCAGTAGCCCCAACCGAGCCGCCCTGACCCGATCTCGCTGACCTACCCCTCCTCCTCGCAGGTCGTCCTCTACCACGACCAGATCGCGCGCGACGTGTACCGCTCGCCGAATGAGGGGAAGGAATGGCATCTCGTTGAGGGCGTGCCGAGGGGCGATGCGTACATGCTTATCGAGCATCCGTACGATAACAGTATCGTGAGTTGGCAGTGGATTCGTTTGCCTTCGCTTAGTCGAGACTCTCTGCGGACGAGCGCTAGCGACTGAGCGTTGAGGCGAGACGTGTTCGCTGACTTGCTCCCTTGGCTCCCTTGCGCAGGCCTTCATCCTGTCCTCATCGACCACGCACTACCGCACGATGAACCGCGGGGAGACCTGGCAATCCTTCGTCACCGCCCTCGCTCCCTCTCTCTCCTCCAACACGCTCTCTTTCCACGCGCGCAAGTGGGATTGGATTTTGTTCGCCGGTCAGAAGTGCGAGGATGTGGGCGGGTGGCAGGGGAGGGTTTGTCATGATGAGGTGCGTGGCAGTCGCTTCGCTCGTGCGAGTCTAGCGCGGAGCATTGGGTCGACGCTCGACATTGCGCGAGCAGCTGGACCCTGTTTGCCCGACAAGATAGCTCGCCCACTGACTTTCCTTCTCACGCAGACCTTCTACACGAAGGACGCCTTCGCCTCGTCGCCCAAGCCCCTCCTCCCCTACACGACCCGCTGCATCTTCGCGCACGACAAAGAAGAGATGGCCGCCTACGTCCCGGACGAACTCGTCTACTGCGCCGCCTACGAACCGCCCTCCGCCTCGCAGTCCTCGACTTCCTCCACCGGCTCCACTCTCAAAGACGCCATCTCCTCCCTTATCGGCGGTACGCCGCGTAGCTTGAGGGAGAGCAGGTTGTGGAGCTCGACGGACTGGTTCGAGAAGGAGCGGACGTACGTCGATTTGGGCATTGGGAGGGAAGCGAAGGGCGTTGTTGGGATCGGCGGAGTGCAGAAGTACCTCGTCACTGCGCTCAAGCCTTCGCTCGGCGGGACCTCAGACGACAAAGGCGGCGCGGGAGAAGGGTCGGGCGAGATGGTCCTGTACGTGACAGAGGACGGGTCGACTTGGTCGCGCGCGCAGTTCCCTCACGGACACGGACTGCGCGAGAATGCGTACACGATCGTCGAGTCTACCCCACATTCGATCCTCGTCGACGTCAACTCGTCGCCGTCCGCTACCGCCGGAACGCTCTTCACGTCCAATTCGAACGGGACGTACTTTGTCCGCAGCCTCGAGAACACCAATCGGAACAAGAATGGGATTGTCGACTTTGAGCGGATTGTGGGCGTCGAGGGAGTCGCGATGGTTAATACGGTTAGGAACGTTGCCGAGGTCGAGGCGGGACATGAGAAGGACCTCAAGACGATGATCACGTTCGATGACGGTGCGTGCGACCAGCCTGATCTGCCTCGCGAGTCGGCAGCGCCGTGAAGCAGGCTGACCTTCGAGGATGCTGCGCACAGGCGGGCACTGGAGCCTCATCAAGGCGCCGCCGGTCGACCACAAGGGCCGCAAGGTCAAGTGCGACACGGACGACATCGTGCGTCCTTCCGGCGCCCTCCAATCGCGTTCTCGCTGACGCCTTGCTTTCCCGCTTCTCGCACCCGCAGGACTCGTGCTCTCTCCACCTTCACTCGGTCACCCAGCCTCACAACTACGGCCGCGTCTTCTCCTCGACCGCACCCGGCCTCGTCATGGGCGTCGGCTCAATCGGCTCCCGCCTCCTCCCCTACGACGACTGCGACACGTTCGTCTCGACCGACGCAGGGTTGACGTGGAGGATGGTCGATGACGGAGCGAAGAAGTACGAGTTTGGAGATCAGGGCGCTGTGCTCGTGATGGTCGAGGATGAGGAGCCGACGGATGAGCTCAAGTACTCGTTCGATTACGGCAAGACTTGGTGCGTGGCGAGGATCAGCTCCCTGCTCGGCGCCTCTCGTCGCTCTTTAATTTGATGCTGATTTGTGGAGATCCTCGCGATGCGCAGGTACGAGTTCGACCTCGGCGTCAAGCTCCGCGCTCGCCTCCTCACCACCGTCCCGGACTCGACCTCGCTCAAGTTCATTCTCCTCGGCACCCTCACGCGCAACTCGAAGCACAAGGGCTCGCAAGGCGAACGTCACGTCATCGTCTACATGGACTTTGAGAGCTTGGGCAAGCGGAAGTGCGAAGACAAGGACATGGAGAAGTGGTACGCGCGTACGATCGGAGGACAGCCGGATTGCTTGATGGGTCACAAGGTGAGTGGGCGGTCTGCAAAGCGCTCGTTCGCTTCCTTGGTTTGCGACCAGCCGGGTCGCGATTGTTCTGCTGGCGGAGCTCGCTGACTCGCTCAACTCTCGCAGCAATGGTTCATGCGACGGAAGCAGGACGCCGACTGCGTCGTTCATGAGAAGTGGAAGGACCCGGTCGGGCGCGAGGAGGACTGCCCGTGCGACGACGAGGACTACGAGTGGTGCGTCAAGAGTCGCGCTCGTCTCGGTTCCCAGCTAACTCGCCGTTCACCCGCAGCGACTACAACTTTGCGCCCGACGGCATGGGCGGCTGCACGCTTGTTGGTCCCGAACCGACCCCGCCCGGCCAGTGCTTGCGCGACGGCGACAAGTTCATGGGCTCGAGCGGCTTCCGGCTCATCCCCGGTAATACCTGCGACGTCAAGCGCGGCATCAAGAAGGACGCCAAGGTCGAGAAGCCGTGCCATGCGGGTCAGGAGACGCCAGGACTCGTCACGCACCAGTCGGTGAGTTGAAGCGACTTTCTCGCGCGAAGGATCCGACTGACCCCTCGCTGCTGCTCCGTAGTTCACCTTCCCCGGCTATGTCATCGACCACGCCTACTTCGGCGACTCGCACACGATCCTCGCCTTCACGAAAAAGAACCGCGTCTGGCAGTCGATGAACCAGGGCTTCTCGTGGCACGAGGCCGTCAGCGAGGCGAACGTCCTCGCGATGACGATGCACGGCTACGCCCGCGATCGCGCTTACCTCATCACCGACTCGCGCACTGTGCACTACACGACCGATAAGGGCAACAGCTGGAACAAGTTCACCGCCCCAGCCGACCCGAACGGTCTCGGCATCCCCCTCCTCGACTTCCACCCGCTCAAGGCCGACTGGCTCATCTGGACGGGCCAGATCAACTGCGGCGACAACGACTCGACGACTTGTCGCGCCGTCGCCTACATGACCAAGGACAACGGCCGCAACTGGAGCAAGCTCGAGGAGTACGTCCGCGTGTGCAGCTGGGGCCGCGACAAGAAGTTCCGTATCGACGAGAAGACGATCTTCTGCGAGGCGTACCGCGACAAAAAGGGCTCGCAGCGCGCCGTCTACCAGAACAACAACCCGCTCCAGCTCATCTCGGGCGAGTTCTTCTACTCGCACAAGACGACCTTGTTTTCCTCGATCGTTGGCTTTGCCACGTTCGAGAATTACATGGTTGTCGCCGAGACGTACGAGAACACGCGCGCGATCGGCCTCAAGGTCTCGATGGACGGCAAGACGTTCGCCCTCGCCCGCTTCCCGCCCAACATGCACCTCGAGAACCAGGCGTACACCGTTCTCGAGTCAACGACCGACTCGGTCTTCCTGCACGTCACAACGCACGCCGACGTCGGCAGCGAATGGGGAACGCTCTTCAAGTCGAACTCGAACGGCACCTACTACGGTCCCTCGCTCGAGTACGTCAATCGCAATGGCCGCGGGTTTGTTGACTTCGAGAAGTCAATCGGACTCGACGGCATTGCGGTTGTCAACATCGTCTCAAACCCCGACGAGGCGGCGCTCAGCAGCAACAAGAAGCTTCAGACGCGGATCACGCACAACGACGGCGGCAGGTGGAAGCCCCTCAACCCGCCGGCGAAGGACGCGCTCGGTCAAGCGTACGATTGTCGAGGAACGGTGAGTGCTCGAGGCGTCGCGTCGACTCGATCTAGCTTTCCTTCTTGCGCTCTCTCAATGCTGATGAATCTCTCGCAGAACTGCGCCCTCCACATCCACGGCTACACGGAGCGTGACGACCCGCGGGCGACCTACTCTTCGCCTTCTGCGACCGGCGTCATGCTGGCGGTCGGCAATGTCGGCGAGCACCTCATCTCGTACACCGACTCGGACACCTTCCTCACTCGCGACGGCGGCTTTACGTGGGAAGAGGTTCACAAGGACGCCCACATGTGGGAGTTCGGCGACCAGGGGACGATTCTCATCTTGGCGAACGACGAGCAGCCGACCGACCACGTCACGTACACGCTCAACCAGGGCCTCTCGTGGCAGGACTACTCGTTTGGCGAAACCGTTCGCGTCAAGTCGATCGTCACCGTTCCGATGGATACCAGCCGCAAGTTCATCCTCTTCGGGACGAAGCCCGATCGGCCCGACCAGACGGTCGCCATTCACCTCGACTTTTCCTCCATCACCAACATCAAGTGCAAGCTGGACCTCGCCCACCCGTCGAATGACGATTTCGAACTGTGGAGTCCGAGCGAGAACCGGGACGAGCCGTGTTTGTTCGGCATGCAGGCGCTCTACCACCGCCGAATCCGCGACCGCAATTGCTTCGTTGGCGAGCGACTTCCGCAGCCACACAAGATCGAGAAGTATTGCGCCTGTACGGAGCAAGACTTCGAATGGTTCGGCCTTCTCGTCCACTTCTCGCTCTCAGGAGCTGACACGTTTCGTCCCGCAGCGAGTTCAACTACAAGCGCAACGCTCGCGGCGAGTGCGTCCTCGTCGACGGCGCGCAGCCGCTCGAGTCGGACCAGACGTGCGCGTGGGATCAGCCGTTCTGGTACGAGCGGACGAATATGCGCAAGGTCCCGCACTCGAAGTGCGTCGGCGGCCTCCAGCTCGACAAGGGTCCCGCGCACGTCTGTCCCGGGCACTCGCGGCGCGGCGGCTTCTTTTGGGCGACGATCGCCGTCCTCCCCTTTGGCCTCGCCGCGCTCGCCGCCTTCTGGTGGAATCGCCGACGAAGCGGCAAGGGCCGCATCCGCCTGCCCGAACCTGGCGAGCCTGGACGGTCTGGCGTCGTCGAGTTCCTCGTCAGCGTGCCGTGGTTCCTCATCGGAATTGTTGGCGTCGCCATCGAGAAGCTGCGGGATATCGAGCTGCCTTTCGTCGGCCGGCGGAATCGACGAGGAGGTTACCGATCGCTGCGGCTCGATATGGATGCGGAGTTGCTCGCGGACTACGACGACGACGAGGAGCTCTAGGAGGAGGAGGAGGAGGAGGAGGAGGAGGAGGAGCGGAAGGATACCCTCGCACGCTAGACACTACCGCATCCGCATTTCGTTCATCTCTACTTGTAACGGGCGCTACATTGACATCGCCGACGGTGCCGCTGCGCCGTATGCACCGTACGCCGCCGACCACAACAACTCGACCGCGCCGGCACCGCCTCCTCTCCCTTTGTTCTCCCGTCGGCTTCTTCGCTCTCCGCTTCCCTTTCTTCCGTTGTTGTTGTTCCGCTCGAGCCTCGACGACGTCATTATGAAGCAGGACAAGGCTAGACGCGCACCGGCCTCTTCGCGCCGTGCAGCAACAAGCCCCTCCTCCTCGCAGCCAGACAAAGGCTTTGTTTTCCTCGCCGACGCTGCTTCTCGTCCACCTCTCGCGCACTCTACCAGCTCTTGTATCGACTCTTGCGTCTCTTGGCCATACCGCCGCTCGCGTCGCTCTTTCTGCTTGCTGCTGCCCTTCTCCTAACGACTCTTACGAACCGTCTCTTCTGCCTCACGGTACGCCTCTTCTCTCTGCTGCTCCCAACAGTTTACTGACGGTTCTCTGTGCAGACATGTCCACCTCTTCGCCACCAAGGACGCCCGTCTCGTCAACGGCATCCTCCTTCCTCTCCTTTTCGCCCGAAGCACCCGCAACTCCTCGTGAGGGGGTTGGACTATCGCCAAGCGTCTACAGCTTCGACGATGCCACGCCGAGGGCATCGCGTACGCGCATCCTCTCGAATCTGTACGCCGACGTGCCGCCAGTCCCCCATCTGAAGCTTCCCAGCAGCGCCCGAAGGTTCGGCAGCCGCAACCCGTTCGCCCCAATGCTCACAGAAGCGAGCGAGACCACGTCGTCACGATCGAGCACGTCGTAAGACGACGGACGATCGCACTCTCGCTCGAGCACGCCCGCAACTTCGTCCGACGAAGACCTCGTCGTTTTCGAGGGCTGCTTCGTCAATCCCGCCGACCCATTCACGCCTGCCCCTCGATCCTCGTCTCTCGCGGCGGCATGGGACGCGTGCAGCGTCGTCGACAGCCTTCAAGCCATGGGCATCGACGGAGACAACGATGTCAGCTCAGCGTGGGAGGACGAGCTGTACTCGAGCCTGTCAAAATCGAGCCCGCTCTCACCTTCGTTCCCCGTCGCCGCCCTTCAGTCGCCGTTCCTCGCCACTGGTCGTCTGCCTTCGCCGCGCAGTGCGCAACCGCCCAAGTCACCTCGCAAGACTCGCAGTCCGCACCATCCCACTTCGCCCCGCCATCATCCCTTCAAGCGTTCGACCACCGAGACGACGATTCGCGCGTCGCCTCGCAAGTCACCCCAGCGCTCTCCCCGTCGCACGCCTCATTCGTCTGGCAGTCCCAGCAAGACGCGGCGCACTTCGCCCACTGACCTTCTCAGTCCGGCTTTCGCTCCCTCCTCCTCCTCCTCACCCGACTGTCCTGCGTTCAACATCGACCCGACCTCACCCGTCTCCGTCCCGTCCCTTCGCTCGAAGCGCTCACTCGCCTTCCTGTCCCTCGGCTCGTCTGGCAAGTCTCGCCGCGAGAAAGCGCCACCTCTTCCTCGCACTTCTTCCGCCGCCCCGTTCCCGCGTTCGCCGCGCAAGTCGCCCAAGAAGAAGCCCGCCACGCCTCGTCGACGTCGCGAGCGGCACGGCGACAGGGCGAGTCCGCCTCGTTCGGCGAGGACGGCGGACGGTATCGACCTCGACGAGCTGGACCGCTTCTTTGGCATCACGCCCAAGCTTGCGAAGGCGATGCGCGGAGGGTACGAGGATATTGTTATGCAGGAGGGCTTGGCGAAGGCGGGAAGGAATGGGATGGAGGAAGTGGAGGACTTTCGCGGCTTGCTTGACGCCACGGACTTGAGCGACGACTGCACTGGCGCTACCGGCACGGGTCAGTCGGCCCGAAGCTCCCCTCGACGCCGTCCCCCTCGTCTCGACCTCTCCAACTCCTCGCCTCATTCTCGCGCCTCGTCCTGGGCCTCTTCGCACCTCTCAGCCGACGACGAAGCCGCCTCGCCGCTCTTCGACGACGACGACGCCTCCGCTCTCGACGCCTACATCCACCTCGCCTCGCCTGTCGTTCTCGCTCCGTTCAGCGCAGGTCGCACGGCTGCGCTCGCTCAGGCGAGGCTTTTGGCGATGGAGGATGTCTTCGGTGGAGGGGTGAAGGCGGAGGCGCACGAGCGCAAGGTGCTGAGGACGAAGAAGAGCGTTGGAAACAGGCTGCGCGACTTTCTCGGTGCTAGGGGATGAGGCGACTCGGGTTCACGTATTGCTCACTTCACGTAACGACCAATTTGTTTGACGAGTCTAGCTGGCTAGAGGAGGTGCATGGCATAGTCGTGCGGTACGGGTATCGCTAGGAAGCTACGAAAGGAACCGCCTGCACCAGGCTGGCGATGAGAAGGGTGAAGCTCGCAAGAAAGCCGAAAGTATGGGTATCCCCGAACGTCCTCGTCAGCTCACAAGGCATGTCCGCTCTTCTCGTCCACCACCTCATCCCGCTTCTCCTGCTCCCTCCGCTCAAAGCCCTCCGCGTACCCAACCGACTCGCCCAACTCGAGCTCAAGACCCGCATGGACGCCCTCCTCATGCTTCTCATCCACTTCCTCAGGGTCCTCAAACGGACTCTTCGCGCGCTCACGCTCGCGCTTCTCCTCCTGAGCGTCTTCGTCTTCCTCCCTCACCACCTCCGTCGCCCCACCTCTCCTACCACCGCCTCTGAGCACACTTGCGATACTCCCCCCAGTCAAGCTCCTCATCATTCCCGCCCTCCTCCATCCGCCCAAGAACCCTCCCAGTCCGCCCTTCGCCGCTCCACGCGCTTGGCCTGGAGTTGGAGAGGTCGCGTCCCGAGCGTAGGAGGCGAGCGCTTCGTCTGGTGAGAGGATCTGGGACGAGCGGTGCGAGTCGTGGAAGGCCCGAGGCATGGAGGAGTCGGGGATTTCGAGTTTCGCGAGCGAGTCGGTGAGCGAGGGAGAGGAGAGCGCGGGCGAAGGAAGATCTGCTGAGAGGGCGTGTTCGCCGAACGGCGAGACGGGCGAAGACTGTCCCGATGCCGAAGGAGGCTGCGAGTACGCGAGCCGTCCATCTCGAACAATCGCAGCCGCCGGCATGCTCGACAACTCGTTCCTCAACGAGCTCGCAACAGACGTCTTGTGCGCGTGTCCGAAAGGCTTGACGGGTTTCGAGAAGCCTGCCAGCGCGCCGAGGGAAGACGAGTTCGACGGTGAACGGATGGAGGCGAGTTCTTCGCGCGTGCCGGAGCGCGACAAGTAGTCGCCTTCTAGGGCGGTGACGGCGAGACTGACGGACGAAGAGGGCGAGCGAGGGATTGAGGGACTCGAGCCGAATGTCGGACCGGCTGAGCGGGAGAGTTGGGGCGAGTGGACCTCGGTCGCGCTGGAGAAGAAGGTCGAGTTGCGTAGCTGGCTTTGGTGGAGCGATGAACGGGTGTGGACGCTGCCTGGTCGAGCTTGACTGGTGAAGGAAGGCCGTCCGAGTGCTTCTCCCGCAGCGAACGAAACGCGACTCATCCGCTCGCCCGAGCCAGTCTGCCGCATCTCTGCAGGCGGAGGCTGGCGGATGCCTGCACCAAGAGGCGAAGGGACGCCGACGCCTGATCCGGCGAACGAGTAAGTCGAGTGCCGCGCGTTTGGGTCGGCAAAGTACGACTGCCTGTTCGCAGCCGTGTACTGCGATCCCGACGGACGGTGCGAAGTGTGGAGGGAGCCTGGGCGCGACCCAGCCATCGACGGACGAGGCTGCCACGTCCCCTGCGAAATCATCGACATGCGATGGTCGACGACTGCGCTGAACCGCTTCTTCTCAGGCCGCTTGCGCAGTTTGTGCCAGGTCACGTAGCCGACGACGGCGAGGGCGACGACGAGGAGCGGGACGGCGATTGCTGCGCCGAGTTTGCCGCCGGAGGGAGAGGAGGATTTCGTCGCGGGGTCGGCGACGGATTCGACTGAGGGGCCGGTGTAGTTCGAAGAGGCGGCAGACTGGGTGACAGAAGGGTAGCTGTGTGACTGACTGCGTTAGCGGGCGAAAAAGCCGAGACTTCAAGCGGAATGAGGACTTGCGATCCGTTGTAGGCGATTGCAAAGACGGGTCCTGCGGGAGCGGGCGTGTTCCATCGAGGTTGACCGGACGGAACGAGCGAGAGCTGTATGTCATATTGTCGGAAGAAGGAGAAAGACAACCCCGATGCAGTGCACGAACCGCCAAGGAGGTCAGCGGGTGGTTTCGTCGAGGAGGAAAGAGGACAAGGGAGCGCACCTGAGCCGACACCTGTCCTGCACCCGTGCTAGCGTTCCACCAGCCCGGCTTGAGCTGCGTATCGAGCTTCCCCTGCGCGTATTGCACATTCGTCCACTCGTGCACGGCGAGCCATCCCGAGTCCTCCTCGACGCTCAAGTACAAGTCGACGGTGCTCGAGTCGATCGTGACACATCCAGGGTTCCACTCGAGCGTGATGTCCTCGTACACGGGGAGTGTGTCGCTCGCCTGCGGGTGGGTGTAGAGGTTCGATGAGGAGGTGCAAGCTGGCGCCGTCGCGCGCCGTTCGAAGCGGTGCGAGCGGGTGCGCCTGGGTTCTAGCGAGTGTGCCATCCTGCCAGCGTGCTCAGCAGGCCCCACGAGGCGTTCAATCTGGAAAGCGAAGCGTGCGGACAACAAGAGGAGACGCGTCGAGGAGCGCTCACACCTCTCGACGGTGACAACGCCTCTCTCGCTGGACTGCAGAGCGCTGAAGTACCCTGATGCATTGCGCTACCGCCTGCTCGGGCCGGGCGAACGAGAACGGCCTTTGAACGCCACACTCAACTTCTGCAGGTACTCCAGTCCGAAGGTCTTGACAGCGTACTGCATCAACGCAGTAACGCACCTCTTGCACTCCTCAGACGTCGAAGGAGGCGGACGTGCTTCACCTACGAAAGGAGAAGGAGGCGAGTAGGCGGCGTGGAGCGTCAGGATGCAAAGCATCTGGTGAAGCAGCCTCGCCGACCGGACGTCCAAGTCTTGGGGAAGAACAGGCGGGAGGGCTCCTGCACCGAAAAGGAGCGCATAAAACCCAGCCATGCCTTGAAGTAGGAACTGGCGGAAGGAGTCGATGGTTCTGTGCGTTGCAAGAATTGCATAGCGAGACCAGACCAGCATTGCAGGCAGCTGATCGAGTGCTGGCGAGGCTGACGGAGCGGCGTCACCGGTACCACTCGAGATGAGTTCCTGCGTGTCTCGACGGTCAATGATCGTGTGTCTTGCGGCAAGGTTGAGGGCAGCTCACAATCAAGTCCGCCTTGGTCGCGTCTGGCCAACCCAGGTGCGCCTTGATTTCTTCCATGACGGTGGCAGACCTTGTGTAAGGCTCTTCCGCTCTCGCAACCGGCTGTTCCAGGCTGTCGAGGATGTCGGAAGCTTCGGCTTGCGAGAAGAGCGGGAAGGCAAGAGGAAAGGCGTTTGGCCCGCAGAACAGCTTGTGGCCTTGCCAGACCTGCACCATGTCAAGCCAGTGAGGACATGCACGCAGGAAACGAGCACGGGAAGCGAAGCTGACGCACCATCTTCTGACACTTCGGCGAGCAGAAGAAGAGGTCGATTCCTGCCTGCGCGCACGCTGAGCACCGGTTCTTCGTCTCGCTACCGCACACCAGACACTCGCCCGTCGACTGCGTGTCCATCGCTTGTCGCCGCAAGCTGTTGTCGCGGTGCAAATCGAAGTCGACCGCGAGGACTGATGAGGTTGGCGAGTTGGCGAGGGAGGGCGTCGGAAGCGAGGCGCCGGTCAGTAGACCCTCGAGAGCAGTCGCAGCACGGTCACGAGCGGCTAGCGAGCTCAATCTGAGGCAGCGGGTGAGCAGGACGAGGGAGAACCGCTCACTCGACCTCTCTTTGACCTCGACCACTCACTGTGCTCCCGCTCGCACGCCCGCCTGCCTCGCTGACTCGCTCAGACTGTTCAGTAGCCTGAGCATGACCTCCCTGACCGCCCGCCGCTGCATCGTGTGCGACGCCGAGGCGACCAAGCGATGTTCGTCCTGTGCCAGCGCAGGCGTCGACCTCTTCTTCTGCTCGCTGGAACACTTTCAACAGGTGCGCCTACGCTGGAGAATTGATTGCAGGACCGCACTGACCGCCCGCTCCCATCGCCGCAGGTCTGGCTCGGTCACTCGATCCTCTGCGGGAAGTCGCCGCCTTTCTGTCGTTGCCTCACAGAAGACCAGTTCACCCACTTCAAGGATAGCTTTGCTTTGCCTCTCGAGAAGACGCTGCGTCTGCGGATTCTACAGCTCCTGCGTATGCCGCTGGATGATCGCCCTTCGCTCGCACGATTCAAGTATCGCAAGATGTTGGAGGTGCGTTCCCTCAATAGAATACTGAGTTCTTCCTCAGAAAGGGACTGACGCATTTGACGACAGCGGGCCTTCGGATTCGACCCTTGGAAGGTTGATACTCAGGTAGACGAAGCAGTAACAGTCGCTGCCGAACTCGAGCGGCTCACTGGAACGTCTGCAGAGGTGCGCAACGGCAACAGATCGTGGCGGCGAGTCCAGTCCCTTACTGACGCATTTGTGTCCGACAGACTCTGCTTCGACATCTTCAAGCACTCGCTCCCGACTATACGGACCTCATTCCCTTTCACGATGTCCTCGTTACTTGCCTCGGCAGCCTGTATGGGGTTCCCTCTGGCCCGCGGACACGAGATAATGATTGGGGAGACAAAGGACAGCTATACAGCCTACTCGTCTTCGAGGCCGCTGAGCGGTGGCTCTCGCACTGGCAGAAGACAGGCGAACCGCCTGTCGACCCGGGACACGAGTTGTGGTGGACGCTTCTCATGCATCGCGTTACTGCTGCGCTCTACTCGCTTTCGCAGCTGGACAAGCCGTACCGATACGCCTTCGATTGCCACGAGCAGTGCTTCGACACGACTTTCGCCTGTCTCAAGCGCGGTATGGACCTCGACGATCCAGCTCTGAGCGAGTGCTTCTCGCGAGGGATGTATGCGTTCAATGTCATTTCGCGGCTCTTGCGTCCTGAGCTTCCTGAGGAGGATGCAACTCCCGTCGCTCCCACGCCGAGGAAGAAGGCGAAGGGCGGACAAGTCAAGGTGGTGCGGCTGCGCGGGTAGTCGTAGGAGTATTGCAACAAGCATGCTGTCTAAGCAGGAGCAGAAGCGGAGAGGTCGACAGTGACACACTTTGCGAGAAAGCGGGACCATTCGGCGAGATGGTGCAAGTTCTGCTAATCCAAGACTTCCAAACGCTCCGCACAAGCTTCTACGGCTTGACAACGAAATCGTAACCCCTCGGCTTCAAGAGCTGGATCACCTCCTTCAGCTTCTCTGAGAAGGCCTTCCCGAACTTGCCCTCCGCGAAAGCGTACATGGCGATCTCGCTCTCCTTGAGCGCCTCGCCATACCTCTGCATGGCAAGCATCTTCTCTGCAATGGTGTTCGGGCGCATCGCAAAGGCGGTGAGAGTGTGGAAGACGACAAAGCGGTGGAAAAGCTCCGCCTGATTGCGTTCGTACTCGGGAACGTAAGGCATGATTCCCTTGTCGGTCAGACACAGGCAGAGGCGCGAAAGGCCGGTGAGTATGCCGTCGCGAAGGGAAGTCGTCCCGATGCAAGACTCGGTCGACATGCGCAGGAAGAGGAGGAGCTCTTGCTGTTTGCCGGGGTTGTTGCGGAAGACGGGACGGGCGGTAGACTCTTCGCTGGTGCCGAGAATGAGGGTCTGCGCAATTGCTCAGTCAGCGCGAGACCCACTGGACGTGCGCATGGCGAACGCACTCACCAAGGTCTCTGGCACGCCCATACCTGGAAGCGCAGCTTGCCTGATGTGGTCCATCAGCGTGATCTGGACCTCCTGCCCATCGATCGTCGGACAGAAGATAGTCTTGTCGAGGTTGCCGACGATGCTCGCGACCTCGGCCTTCGAGAGAAGCGGGAAGGAAACGGGAAACGCCTGCGAGCCGCAGAAAATGCGGTGTCCTGGCCAGACCTGCGTGCAGACGCCGTAGCATGGTGAGTGATGGAGCCTAACGAGAAGGTCAGAGGGTCGGAACGCACGAGTTTCTGGTGTTCCGGCGAGCAGAAGAAGAGGTCGATTCCCGCGTCTGCACACTTCGAGCAGCGGTTCTGCGTCTCCTTCCCGCACACCATGCACATTCCAGTCGGCTGCTGATTCATCGTGAAGCTCGGGAGAGTCTTGTGGGAAGAGGTGAGCGAAGGGGACTGAGCGAGCGATGAAGGCGAAATCGAGTCGGGCGGCGACGAGAGCAGCGAGATCGGTCAAACAGCAGTCCGGGCGAGGTCAGCAAAGCCTTACGAGCACCCAGCGACGCGGTGCGGTGAGCGAGGTGAAGAGAAGAGGAGGAGAAGCGGTCAGCTCTCGCTAGTTTGCCGTTCTCCAAGTCCAACGACGACTGTTAAGTGCAGTGATCCTACCAAGCAAGAACGAACGCATCACGGGTAACGGAGAGTGAAGCGCGACGCCGCTGCCACCAACGCCCTGCTCAACTTGTCGTCCGAGTCCTGGCCGAAGGTCTTGCGCGCAAATGTATGGAGCGCGGCTTCGCAGGCCTTCCCAGGCGCGGCGTACTTCTGAGCCAGTGCTTGACGCTCAGCCAAGGACTTGTTGGTGGCCTGGTAGAAGATCGAAGCAAAGGTCTGGAAGGCGACAATGTGGTGGAAGAGCTCGGCCTGGCGCTTGGCGTACGTTCGGGAAAGACAGGGAAGAGGCCAACCTCGTTGAGATCACAGCAAAGTTGGGTGACGAGCGTGATGACGAGCTCCTTCAGCGGCTTGTCGTTAGCGCAAGGCGAGGCGGAGAAGCGTGCTTTGTAGAGGAGAGCTTGATTGGCCTTCGCCATTACTACAACTTCGTTAGCCCTTCCGTCGTCCGTCTCGGTAATCGCCCAAATGCGACTCTAAACGAGTCGGACGTCAGCGCGGCGGGGGGAAAACGCTGGAAGCGGGACACACCGCAAGCTCTTGACGCGTGACCTGAGGATGCAGGAAAGTCTGAAAGAACGTCAGAAGGGAATGCTTCTCTTCGCCGTTGCCGAGGTTGAAGCGAAGCAGCGGGACCTCGACGTTCGGGATGATGTCGAGCGCCTCGTTCTTGGAGAGGAGCGGGAACCTGACGGGAAACGCATTCTTGCCGCAGAACGACCTGTGACCCGGCCAAACCTGTCAACGGAATGTCAGCAAGTCGGCTTGAACAGCGAGAGTTAAGAGGACGTACCAGTGTCTGGCAGTCCGGCGAGCAGAAGAAGAGGTCGATGCCAGACTGCTCCAAGCAGGGCTTGCAGCGCTTCGTCGTGCTGGTCCCGCACACCAAGCAGTCTCCTTCGACCATCTCCGCCGAGTCTGCGTGCGTCGGAGCCGTTGTGTGTCGAGTTGTCCGGGTCGAGGAGGCGAGGTTTGATGAAGCGGTGGAGGGCGTTCAAGCGGTCGCCGGGATCATTCGGCGAGTGGACCGAATCAGAAGCAGTATTAGAGCAGTACGAAGCCAAGAGAGCGCCTCGCGAGGCCGTTCCTGCGAGAGCAGGTGAGCAGGAGGAGGGAGAGAAGGGAGGAGGTGAGCGCGAAAGTGGGACTGTCTGTCTTTTGTCCAATCGCTCTCGTAGAGACCTAGCGTCTCAAGAGAAGCGCCGAAGCGTGTACATGCGATTCCAACTGGTCCTCCTACGAGCCTAAGCGACGTGCTCCGTTCCTCCCAACTCTGACAGCTCGGTCAATTTGCCAGTTGACCTGTCCGTCGGAAGGAACATCGCCTTGGGTGCCGCCTCCTTGAGCTTGACCAAGAACTTCGCAGCCAAACCTGCGTCAAAAGCCTCGGAAACGTACGCCTTGAGCGCCTTCTCGCATGTGCGCTTGCAGCGCTCAGCGTCCCTGATCCTGTCGAAGCCCGTGTCGGGTGCGCGAGGATCCGGCAGTGCCGCAACGACGAGGGCTTCGTAGCAGGCGAGACGGTGGAAAAGGATGGTCGAGCGCATGTCATAGCGCGCCGGTATCGGCGCGAGCAGACCAATGCCAACAGATTCGAGAACGATCTTCGAGATCCCGCCAAGGGTGAGCTCCGAGGGAAGCTTGTCGTGTGTGAAATTTGACATCGCTGTATCGCGCGCCGCGAGCAGGATCGTCTGCGACCATTCAGGGAAAGAGGCGGGTCCGAGAACTGGAAAGATATCTGAAACTGACATGATGTCAGACTGCAGAACAGCGCCATCAGCGAACGTACGCTGGAGAGGTTGGTCGAAACGGCTCACCACAATCTCGTCCCGCGTCTTGTTCGGTCCCAAGAAAGTCCTGAGATAGTCGAGTGAGGATCTGTGGAATTTTTCTCCGGACGCTCTGAGCCGCAAAGTCGGCTTGTCGAGGTTCTCCAGCAGCTTGGCTGTCTCTGCCCTCGTAAGGCGAGGAAGGGAGATAGGCCAGGCGTTCGCGCCGCAGAAGACCTTGTGGCCCTGCCAGACCTGCGGCAGCATCAAATGTGTGTCAGTGTGAGCTCAATGGCGCGCTTGAAGAGAGGGCGAGACGCACGAGCTTCTGGTGCTCCGGCGAGCAGAGGAAGAGCTGAATTCCGGCCTTCGAGCAAGGCCCGCAGAGCTTGTTCGTCTCTTGGCCACACGCCAAGCACTCTCCCGTAGTTCGCACACCCATCGCTGGTCGTCGCAGGCTGTTGTCGCGGAGGAAGGGTAAGCTCGTGGGCCGTGAACTGATGAAGCGTTGGCGCCGAGCGACGACGTCGGACGGGTGAAGTGGGCGGTTCAGCAGGCAGGAAAGAAACTCGAAAGAGCCCAGCAGCCAGTCAGAACGCTTAGAGTGGGAAGACGATGCGAGCGTGTGAAGCGTCGAGGGAGAGGGAGACGTCCAAGCGGCGGATGCGTCGTCGACAGCCTCGTCTATTGGCCAAGCTCTTCTGGGATGCCTATACCATTCCGTCGAGCGTATGGACGTCGCAATCGAGACAGTCAAGCAGAGGAGGGATTTGCACTCGCTCCTCTTCCGTCTGCGACTCTCGCAAGTTCGCGTCTCTCCTGCAACCAAGACAGAACTGCAAGTGTCTATCTACAATCCGTGCCCTCCAATCTTACGCACCTGGCACCGGTACAGCCTGTGGCAGACGCTTCTTGACCGTCCTCATGACCTTCGCCGCCAAATCCTTGCCAAATGCTCCGCCGCTGTGCACTGCAAGCACCTGCCTTGGATGAGGTGCAAGGGCACACTCAGCGGTTGACAATCTTCCTCAAGATCCCGCCAAAGCCATGCATAGCCGGAGCGACGTTGGCGGAGACTTTCTCGGACGCCTCCTCCGAGATGTGCTGCTCGGCGTAGTCGATCATCCTGAACTGGCACTGGAAGCCGCGCATCGCACTCTCCCTGTCCCGCACGGCAGACTGCCCGTTAACGCGCATGAGCGTGACGACCGCGACGATGTGGTGGAAGAGGATCGCTTGTTCCCGTGTCGTGTCCCGCACGTCGACCGGGAAGACGCCATCGCAGAGAAGCCGGTACCACTTCTCGGAGAGGGCAGAGAGGATGTCGTTCCGATCGGACTCGGTCGTTTGGAGGCAGAGAGCCATGCGAAGGACGATGAGGACCCGCTGATTGTGCGAAGTCCCGCGGGCGCCCGGCTGCTCCCGGTCGTATGCGCTGCCCTCGACGAGCGCACTGACTGCGTGCTGTGGGGCGAGGGAAGCGTCAGCGAGGCGAGCGCGAGGAGGAGAGGCAGGCCCGGCAGCGCACCTCGGCTTCTGGGCGGGTGTACCAGTGCACGAGACACTCATCGTAGATGCTGGTGGGACCGTCGTCTCCTCTCAAGATCGGCGCGTACATCTTTGTTCGGACGAGACGCGATTCGTCTGGCTGGAGGAGGGGAAAGAGCGGCGGGAAGGCGTGACGTCCGCAGAACAGTCGGTGTCCGACCCAGAGCTGTATCGTAGTTGGTTAGCGCCGCATGTAGCTGAGAACCTGTCGAAACGCACCGTCTTCTGACATTCCGGCGAGCAAAAGAAGAGGTCGATCCCAGCCTTTCCACACGCCGCGCAGCGGTTCTTCGTCTGCGTCCCGCAAGTCAGGCACTTCCCACCCGGATGTTCGGCCATCGTACGAACCCCTTGCGAGGGTGCCGTCGAGTTGTGCCGGGTAAGTCGCGCGGGCTGATGAAGAGGTTGGCGGAGCGGCGAGGGTTTGCGGGCAGGCAGGGCGTCTCGTGAGGGAACCAGAACTCGCGCAAATGCTAGAAGAGGAGCTCGGAAAGCAATTCGAGCGAGGATGGCAAAGTGGAAGAGGAGGAACCCCCGTTCTGTGCTCCTGCTGGTCGCAACCACGCAGTACGACTTCATTTCCGCTCTATCTGTCCGAAGTGCTTTCTCTCGTATGGTCCCGATCGACGGCCGAAGAACGAAGGACTCGATAACAACGGCGTTGCTCCTCAACGCGACATGTGTTCCCGCGCCTGGGTGCCGTCTCCTTCCGGTGTACAGCGGCTAGGCGAGAGGGGAGGAAGCGAAGAGCGCGAGAAGTTAGTTTTCAGTGTCTTCAGATGGGTCGAGCGTGAAGACCTTGAAGAGCTTCTGCGCGTCGGCAGGCGAGAAGTGCGCCTTGATGTAGGTGACGAGCGCCCTGCAGCAAGGACCCGATGCGGTGGCGCGCTTCTTCACCACAGTCAGGTCGAGCGTCTCCAGTGAGCCTCGAAGTGTCGAGACGACGCAGATCAACCCCTGGAGCATTGTCGCCTCGATGCGGTTGGCAGAGTAGAGCCAGCGCTTCAAGACTCCGGTGTCGGCAGCGTCCAACTGATCCTTGATCAGCCAATTGATCACGTCCGAACGGAAAGTGTTGGCACCCCCCGGAACGCGGTTGGCGCAGAAAGCGAGCGTGAGGAGATACTGGTTCTGCTGGAAAGTCCAACGCGACATGGTGGTCTTCTTGCCCTCGGTCAGTTCTTGGATGCAAGTCTGCGGGTGTGCAAATATAAGCAGGCGCCACCCTCAGTGACAGAAGGAGAACAGACCTTGAAATCGCTCCTGGTCAATCCGAGGTTCTTGTGAGCCAGCTCGTAGACGGACCAGCGCGGCGCGCCACCCGCTGAATCAGCGTGGGACGGCTTGTCCATGTTCGCGATGGCGATCTCGGCCTCAGAAGGCGTGAGCAAGGGGAGGGTGAGAGGGTAAGCCTTCTTCCCGCAAAAGATCTTGTGGCCGGTCCAGACCTGCGTGACATGGTGTTAGCTTGTCGTAAACGGTAGACAAGCAAGACGGAACGTACAAGCTTCTGGCACGACCGGCTGCAGAAGAAGAGGTTGAGTCGCGTCGTCGCACAAGCTGCGCAGCGGTTTGTCGTTCGGGTTTGGCACACCAAGCACGGTCCTCCAACCGTTCCGTTTGTCCCAACCATCCCGGGAACCTGCTGTCGCCAACCTATACGGTCCGAAGCGAGTTGAACTGATGAAGCGCTGGCGGGGCGAGGACAGGGCGTGGCGGCGAGCGGGAAAGCCCAATCAGCCTGACAGCATGCTAAGATGCACCAGAGACCCGCAGAACGCACAGTAAGCGGTGTGCGAGAGCGTGAGCGAGCCGTTCGAGGCGAAGCGATGAGGCCATCTCGCGCGAGTCCTGTTTGGCTTCCACCGCTCACACAGACTCGCAGAGACGATGAAGGCCTACATCTAGTGCGTACACACCCTCCGAGCATCGCACCCAGGCGCAACCCGCGCTCCTCCCGCTTCTCTCGCACCCGCATGCACTCGCTGACACTTCGGCCGACTCACAGCGACGACAAGCCGGGAGACCAGCGCGAGCCGCACCACTCCGGCGAGGAGGTTTCGGTGGACCAGCTGAAGGCGATCGGGGTGCTGCCGTACCCGGGAATCGAGTTGGACCAGGTCGAGGAGATGTGCGTCGCTCGTCCTTTCGCCGAGTTGCTCCGTTCAGACCATGCGGAAGCTGACTCTTGGATATTGGGTCTGGCTTGCGCAGCGCCAAGTCGCGGGGGTACAAGAACCGCGACGAGATCAACGTTTCCAAGGCTGGTCTCGGCGACGTCTACGAGGAGAAGATCAAGGGGTTTTTCCGGTGCGTCAGTTTCGTTCGTCGCATGTTCGTTTAGGCAGGCTGACCTTTGCATCCCTCCGCCCGCAGAGAGCACTTGCACGAGGACGAGGAGATTCGGTACATCAAGGATGGACGAGGGTACTTTGACATCCGAGGTGCGTCACGGTTCCCTCCCTGGTACTGCGTTGCATGCATGACAGATGCTAGCGTGCTCACGCATCGTGCGGGTAGGCGACGAGCGCGCGCTGACCACCTCTTTCTCGCAGAGGCCGGCGACAAGCGCTGGATCCGCATCGCCGTCGAGCCGAAGGACCTGCTCATCGTCCCCGCCGGCGTCTACCACCGCTTCACTCTCGACAGCGGCGACTACATCAAGGCGATGCGGTTGTTCCAGGTCAGTCGCGGCGCACTCCCTCGAGCGGTCTCTTCGAGCTATCGGTGGCTTTCGCCAGCGCCTGCTCGTGTTGCATGCTTTCCGAGGACGTGCTGACGCATCGTGCCCCAGGACGAGCCCAAGTGGATCCCGCACGACAAGAACGAGGCTACGGACAAGAACCCGTTCCGCGAGCAGTACCTCCAGTCCATCAAGGCCTAAGATCGCGCTCCGCCTCACGCAATGTCTATCAGTATCTGTGCATGCTATCTCGAGGCCGTGCGCCCGCCTGTGTCTCGCGAGGGAATCATTCTCTCGTCGACCTTCCCAAGCAGCTTGCTCTTCGCTCTTTCGCTCTTTCGCTGTCTGCTCGGGCCACGAAAACGCCTGTCTTCTTCTCGGAGCCTTTTCGTCGACAGAGAAGACCCTCGCCAGCCAGGAGAAGCTTTCACCTCGCCGCTCTGCTCCGCACGCGCCCTCGACGCGTCCGATTCAACAAGCACGCTCGCTTGCCCGCCCTCGGTCTTCGTCTGCTCTTCCTGTGCATCTACACGTCGCCTACACTCGTGTTACGCTCCGTACACTCGCTTGAACAGCCTCGAACGGCTAGCGTCACTCTTTTCCTCGCGCTCTCCCCGTCGCGTTCCTCCTCGTCCCGCTCGCACCCTCACGCCATCGTTCGGCGCATCCGACCTCCCAGGACTCTCAGCACCTCTCTTCCGACGCATACCAACCGCGACAAACCCCTACGATGCAGCTCCTGTCGACCACCCTTGCCGCCTTGACGGTTCTTGCCTCGTTCGCCTCCGCCAACCCCTACGTCTACAAGCCCGTCGCTGCATCGCACTACAAGGCTGGAGACTCCTTCACCGTATCCTGGCGAGACGTGCGTGTGATCTCCATTCTCAAACGACACTTCGCAGAACTGACCTTTGACGGGTGTCCCGTCCGTAGAACGGCGAAGCGCCCCTTTCTTCGACCTACGGCACGACCGACATCATGCTTTACACCGGCAGCGCCTTGCAGCAAGTTCAGCTTGCGAAGTTGGGAAGCGTTGCGGATCCTTCGAAGGTCACGGAGCAGCGGATCACGATTGACCCGTCTTGGGGACGTGCGTACCGGCTTTTTCGCTCCTCGAGATGCGCAGCATGAGGCTGACGAATGCATCTCACAGCCGACTCGGACCAGTACTTTATCCGCATCCAGTCAGAGTCGGCGAAGGACGCTTCCGGTGCACCTCTCCAGGCTTTCTCCGCCCGCTTCCAGTGCGTCCGCTTTCGTGCTTCAATCCGCGACTCTTGTGACTAATGTTCTGTCGTGCAGACTCACACAGATGACCGGCGAGTGGTCTTCATCCGTCAAAGCCGCGCTAGCATCCAACTCAACCGTCGCATCCACCTCCGCCGCCTCCGCCGCCTCCGCCGCCTCCGCAGCAAGCACCTCACGCCGCGTCGCAGGCTCGGCAGTCTCGACCTCCTCGTCGGCGTCCGCATCGGCTTCGGCTGGCTCGTCGAGCAGCGGGACCGGGTCGGCGAGCGCGAGCGCGGCGAGCGCGAACAAGTCGGCGACGAGCGGGGCGGGCAAGGTGGTTGTTGGTGCGGCTGCTGGCGTTGTCGGAGTCGTCGCTCTCGCGCTCGCAGCTTAGGCGAAGCGGTGTCTCCTTCACTTCGCATTATCCTCTTCTCGCCTTATCGGTTCTCTCATCTTCCTCTCTTCGTGCAATCCGCTAGATGCTGCTGCGTAGCCGCTTTATCACGTACAGACCAGGTGTTGCAGAGAGAGAGACCGGGAACGTCGAGATGCGAACGGAAAAGGCGACCAGAAAACGACCCTTCACTTGGCGGCGACAGCGCGCCTCCAACGCCCAATGCGCTCCTTGAACTCAGCCGCCATGCATCCTTCGGGCGTGTAGTCGCAGAGCGGGAGACGGATGACGAGCGTCTCAGGATCGATGTACGCGTGCAAGCCGTCGAGGAAGACGTCGCGCTCGGCACTGAGCATCTTGGCGGCTGGCGACGCGAGGAAGACTTCGATCTGCTTGTAGGCGTTTCGGCAGAACTCGAGAGAGACGGAAGGGTTACCTGCGCGGAACTGGCGGAGGAGCGAGAGGAAGATGACGAGGCGGTGGTTTGCGCCTGGGTACCAGACCTTGTTCGTCGGCATGCAAGGCCAGAGCTGGTACAGTAGCTCATTCGTCAGTTGGAAGGTGTCGATCGTGCCGAGGACCTCGTTCAAGTCGCCCGCAGGACACCTGCGGCGAAGCTCGAGCATGCGGATGTCGACGAGGGCAGCGTGCGAAGTGTAAGAATCGTACGGGTGCTCGTGGCCCTCGGTAAGCCTGTAGATGTGCGTCTGCCGTTCGCGAGTGAGCGTGAGAATGCGCATCGCGTATCGGAGAACCGAAAGCGACGCACCACGATGAAGCGCGTCGCGCAGCCAGCCTCGTTCAGGAACTCGATCAGCGAGGCAATCTTGCCATGCGGGAGACGCCTCGGCACGTCCATATTCGCAACGGCCTCGAGAGCCTCCAGCTTCGACAGCCAAGGACGAGAGTCGGGAACGAGCGGACGTCCGCAAACGCGGTGGTGGTCGCGCCAGATCTGCGGGCGTGTCAAGGCGGTCAGCTGAGGTCGTGGCGGTCATCCCACGAGGTGCAGAGACTCACGAGCTTCTGGTGTTCCGGCGAGCAGAAGAAGAGTTCGTGTCCTGCACCCAAGCACTTCGAGCACAACTTGGTCGTCTCCTCGCCGCACACGAGACACGCTCCGATCCTCTTCACCTCCGTCTGAGCAGGCGTCTCGTCAGTCGGGGAAAGTTTAGGCGAGTCAGGCAGGGGGGTCATGGCGGCGATGGTGGGGACGCGGGAGGGCAGGGGAAGACCGGGAGGCGCGTGAAGAGTCATTTTGACCTCGACAGTCGCTCCAGATAAGCCAGCAAGCCAGCGAGCAGAAGCAAAGGGAGCGGTCGAGGTCAAAGGGAGGTCGAGGAGCGGGTCTCCCTCGTCCTCCTCACCCGCTGCCTCAAATTGAGCTTGCTTGCCGCTTGTGACCTTGCTACGACTGCTCTCGAGGCCTTACTGCCGCGCGCCTCGCTTCCCACGCCCTCTTTCGCGACCTCGCCAACCTCATCAGTCGGCGTCGACTTCGACTTTTGCGACGCGACAACAGCTTGCGACGGCCAGCGATGGACACGCAGACGATGGGAGAGTGCTTGGTGTGCGGAGAGGAGACGAAGAACCGGTGCTCAGCGTGCGCGAAGGCAGGAATCGACCTCTTCTTCTGCTCGCCGGAACACCAGAAGTTTGTGCGTCGCTAGCAGGCTACTCTTCGGATCTCGAAGCAAAGTTGACGAGTGCTCGGACAGGTCTGGTACGCGCATCGCCTCTTCTGCGGGCGCGGTACGGCAAACCCGCCCCTCTTGCCCAATCTCTCTGCCGAAGAACTCGACAGCGCACGTCAGCGCCGATCGAACCCGCTCTTTGGGGTATCCGGCGACGAAGAAGCTTCTCGTGTATGTGCTCGCCCGGACCTCGCACTTGAAGGGCTATTAGAATGGACTGGGCATTCGTTCGACGCAAGTCTTCCTTGTCTTCCTCGCCTGCTTGCGGGTCTTCGCTTACGTCTGTTCCTTCCGCAGTGCATCATCGATTACCTTTCTGGTTCGAGTGGACCCTGCTCTCCTCCCTTGCAGAACGTCGCCTGCGTCCTTGCGTACATCCGCGCAACGCGCTGGTGCGATCCGACGACAGACCTCGAAGAGCTCAGCCGCCGCCCGTTCCCAGCCTTCATTGTCGACCACGTCAGCAAGCTCTTGTGGTCGTTCACTGCCTGCCTCACTTCTGTCGGGACCCTTCCAGACGAGATCATCGAAACGTCGTGGTGGAGCCCGCTCTTCCACCGCCTCCTCATACTCTCGGCTCTCGTTGAGAAGACGCTGGACGACTGCACCCCGAAGCATATCGAATGGGTGGCAGGCGCATATCAGCGTCTGCGCGAGTGGTTGAAGAGCGGCTTGGGAACTGGGAACGCGTCGCTTGGACGTTCTCTGGATCTTGCTATGATCCGTACCACACAGCTTGACATGCTGTGTGGAGCCGAGGATCCCTTCCACAGCAAACACCGCACAGCCTCCACTGACTAAGTTTCAACACTCACTGCTTCGCTGCTCACGTTCTAGTCTCCTCAACCCTTACTCTCGGTGCTCCGTCCTGTCAGTCCTTCTTGTCAATGACAAGCTTCTTCAGTTCCTGCAATCTTTCTCGCAAGATGCAAAGCAAGCGAGCGGGACGAGGCGACGAGACGAGGAGAGCTTCCCTTCTTGAAATGCTCGCTTCGTCGCAAGCCGGAGGATTGCAAGGTCTGCTGCGTTCGTTTCAAAGGCGGAACAACACCTACTGCTGCCCTCGCTGCGCCGTGTCAAGCGTCGGGATGCGGAGCACCATTGTGTCGGAGTCGATGAAGCGATGGAGGCTGTTAACCAATGAGAAGGCAAGGGCTCCAGCGCGCGAAGCCGGGGAGAGTATGTACTGCTCGATCTGCTTGTAGGCGTTACGGCAGTAGGCGAGCGGGATTGTCGACTCGTCCTGCGCGCGCTGGTGAAGGAGCGAGAAGAGGACGACGAAGCGATGCTGCATGCCCGCGTGCCAGACTACGCCGATCGGCGTACCAGGATAGATTGCGAGCCACAGCTCGTGCATGATCTGGAAGATGTCCGTTTTGCCGAGGACGTCGTTAAAGTTCCTCGACGGGCATTTGCGGCGGATCTCCAGCGCGCGAAAGTCAGCCAAGGCAGCTTGCGAGATGAAGAGGCTGAAAGGGTGGTTATGGCCAGCGGTAAAGTCATAGATGTGTTGCTGCGTGCGCTCACTCGGGTCGTCAGTATCGAGTGCACGCAAGGGAAGAGAACAGGACGGACCGCGGTGTAGTACTTGGGAACTTGGGCGACTTCAGCGAGATACTCAGTCATCGTGAGCTCCCTTCCATCCCACAGCTTTCGCTTGACGTCCAAATTAGCGATCGTCTCGTCTGCTTCTTCCTGCGAGTACCAAGGCCAGGGCTCGGGTGTCAAGCGTTTCCCGCAGACGCGGCGATGCTCGGCCCAGACCTGCGAAGCGACACCAGTGTCAGTCTGCGCACACGTCGCCAGTCATGTGATCTGAAGCGCGAGAGAGCGTGACTTACGAGCTTCTGGTGTTCCGGCGAGCAGAAGAAGAGGTCGTGTCCCGCTTTGACGCACTTCGAGCAGAGTTTCGTCGTCTCCTTCCCGCACACCAAGCACGCTCCCGTCTTCCCAGTGCCCATCCTAGCCGTCCGAGCGAGTGGTCGAGGCGAGCGGGTCGAGACTGATGAGGAGGCAAGGGGCGACGACGGCGGCGCGAGGCGAGCTGTGAGCAGTCAGAGGCGGGTCTGTAGCAGTGTATCAGTCGTTCGATGTCAGCAACACAGCGAAAGACGCGTGAGAAGCGGATGGCACCGCTCGAAGCGGCGACGACCCTCTCTTCGCCTCCTTCACGTCACTTGCTCCCGCTCCAAGCGTTCAGGGGCTCGCGAGAACCGGTCCAGATGGCTTCTACTGCTGAGTACAGCGCCTGCTCTGTCTGCGGCCGGCTCACTTCGCTCAAATGCCGCCCTTGCACCGATGCGGGTGTCGACCTCTTCTTCTGCTCGCCGGAATGCCAGAAGCTTGTGCGTCATCCTATTCGAGATCCACAAACGCCTGACAAGCTGAAGCCGAACCTTCGCGCTCACAGGTCTGGTTCGCTCACCGTCAAGTCTGCGGTCCTGGCAAGGCCAACCCGCCTTGTCTTCCCGAGCTTTCGTCGGCAGAACTCCAAAGCGCCCGAGAGAGGAGTCGAAACCCGATTGTGACAGGCGGCGGTCACCCTATGATGCTTGCAGGAGATCTCGAGGGTGTTAGCCATGATCGCTTCGAGGTGAGAACGGTGGCTTTCCGACGTCGCGACGTCGCGGAACTCTGCTGAAGCTCTCCATCCGCAGACGGTCATAAACTTCATCGGCGGCCCTGTCAACGAATGCAGCGCTCTCCCGAACAAGCCCTACCTCGTCAGCATCGTACGGTCCACTCGCTGGAGCGACCCGACGCAGAAGCCAAACATCTCGCTTCGAGGGCTGCCTGACAACTTTGTCATCGACCACGTCAGCAAGCTCATCTGCGGCGTCTGCAGCAGTCTCCTCGGCGGCGACATTCTTCCTGAGAAAGTGATTGACACTTCGTGGTGGACGCCGCTCGTTCATCGACTCGTCCTCCTCTCGGCAACCGTCAAAGTAGCGCTGGAGACTTGCGACGCGAAGTATTTTGCATGGGCTTGCAGCGCTCGTCTGCGCCTTGTCCAGTGGCTCCACAGCGGCATGAACATCGGCGCAGCTGCCCTCAAAGCCGCGTTGGCTGACTACGACCCGATGACGACGGAACTGCGCTACATCTGCAGTCCTCGGCTGCAGGAGATGCTCAGGCAGTCCCAAGAGTAGCACGACCGGTGCGGCGAGTCTGCGCTCAGGCGGACTTGGGTGGACTTGACCTTCCTCGTTGGAACCTTTCGTAGCCCTGCGCTTCATGCAAACAGCTCGTGTCAAGCTCGTGTCGAGCTCGTGTCAAGCTCATGTCGAGCTCGTGTCGAGTGCTCTCTGATAAGTGAACGCTGCGTGGAAGATAGAGGAAAGCAGCGAGTTGAGTCGCTGTGATTGCAAGAACGGCACGGAGGAAGCGAAGGAGGAACGGAACGTCGAAAGGGGCACTACTTGTTTCGTCGGGAGTCGTCAGTCAAGCATAAGATCGCTCAGGCGGAGATCTTGGTGGCAGCGAGCTTCTTCTCGACGCCCGCCCAGCCGGTGACCTCCCCGTCCTCAATTTCGTACGAGTCGTACATCTTGATCGCGATCTTCGCCGCCTTGATGCCGCTCACGAACATAGCCGCAAAACTGGCTCCCATGCGTGACGAGCCATCAAGCTCAGCGAGCTCCATGCCGCCCGTAACGAGACCCGGAACGACCTCGCGGGTGTTGTTGACGATGAAGTCCTCGGCCTGGCGCTGTGGAGGGGCCGACAGCGACATTAGCACATGCAAGGGGAGACGGGACCGGAAAGACGAGGAAGTGAGACTGACCATGTCGAGCGTGCGCATGTCCCCGAGGCTCTCGACGAGGCCGGTGGCAACGAGACGCTTGACGGAGAAGGCGCCAAAGGGGCCGCTGCAAAGGGATCAACGTCAGCAAGGGAGAAGGAGGAGCGGGAGAAGCGGAAGAGGACGCACTCGTGACCGGCGAAGGACATGACGACGGGCGCGGTGATGGTCTGCGGGTCCACTGCACGACGTTCAAAGGGATCAGCATTGGTGCGGGGGAGAAGTGACGGGAAGAGAAAGACGAGGAAGAGACGGAGGAGGGAATGGCGAGCTTCCGTCGCCGCAACGTCCTCGACATCGACTACGCGGACGGAACTTACTGCAAGAGGCAAGGCCATGCGCCATGGTGACGAGAGTGAAGTTCGTGACGACGCCGGCGATGCGACGAGCGCCCGGGACCTTCGAGAGCGGGTCGGGGCGAGAGATGAGGTCCTCGACGGCGGTGGCGTTGAAGAGCTTGACGTTCGGGAACTGCGGTCGTTTGTCGACGTCGGAAGAGCCGGAACAGACGAGGAGAAGAGTGTATCAGCACGGGGAGGGAGACTGTTTGGGTTGAGGTTCGCCGACACATAGCTACGCGCGCATTATCGCAACAGCTTCAACCGTATAATCTCAGCCTCGATCACCGTCTTAAACACAGGCGTAAGCACGAAGGCAATCCGCAAGTGAAGAAGTCAAGGTAGAACGAAAGCACCGGCATGTCTTTGAACTCGCGCCTGGTCCGTCGATCCCGCCGCCGCAAGAGGTGTTGTGTAGCACCTTCGCCCTTCCTCGGAATGAGTGAAAGACGAAGGATGCTGGACTGAGCTGAGCGGCGGCATGTGGGATCGAGCGGGGGCGGATTCCCTTCTCTCCTCCCTACGTTAGAGAGAGGTGGTAGGCGAGCGTGAAAAGCTCGGAAGGTGTGGAGAGGGCACGATGGTCTGCTCGAGACGCTCGTGCCCTGCTCAGGTGATCTTGAGATAGTTACATCTCACCTTGAGGACGGCAGCGAGGCAGGACGCCGTGAAGATGCCGGCGTGTTTGACGACGACCTGCGAGGGCATGTCAGCGACGTCGAGAGGGTGGTAAAGGATGAGCGACGACGCACGTAATCGCCCTCGTCCTCGTAAGGAACATTGAGCTCGTCGAGGAAGTAGTGACCCGGCTTGCGGACGACCATGGCCGACTGGAGCTGACCACCGACCCCTGCAGGCTCAATCGGCGTCAGTACATGTCATCGGAGCCTCGGGATGCCACGAAGAAGCGGGACGGGGAGGAGGACGGAACGGAAGAAACGCACAAGCTCCTCCGCCAGGGGCGACGGCGGCCTCGAGGATCGTGACCTTGAGTTCGGGACGCTCCTTTGCGATGGCGTAGGCCGCGGAGAGGCCGGCAGAGCCAGCGCCGACTGTTGAAAGCGCAAGCGAGTTCAGGTCAGCTTGAAGTCGAAAGATTGGCGCAACAGGACGCAAGCGTACCGATGACGATGTCCGAGATGGCGGTCTCGTACTGGTCCTTACCGTAGCGCGACGACATGGCTGTAGCGATGAAAGAAACGGGGGGGGGGAAGGGGGGGGGGGAGAGCGAAACCATTGGCAGCGGAGGAGAGGAAAAAGTCAGCGGCCCGTCTCGGACGTTTGGATGCTCCTGTCAACAAGCAAGGACACCAGACCACGCACCACGCGAGACGATGTGCTCCTTGATGGGAGCAAACTTGAACGAGCCATCCCAGTCAACAGTCCACGACTCGGTCTTCTCCTCCTTCAAGCCAGCCCAGGTAGCGCCGTCTCCGCCGACTTTGCGAGCCGAGTCGACGTCAGACGACGCATCAGAGTCGGGAGGAGAGGCGGGAAGCTCAGTCGAGGCGACGGCGGCCTTGAGGTCGTCGGCGTTCTTCGAGGAGGGAGCATGGGCGCCAGCGACGCGGAGGGAAGCGATGGAGCTCTTGAAGCCGTTGTAGGTAGACATGTTGATTCTTAAACGTCGATGAGCGTGCGTAGGAGCGGTACTGAGGTGAGGGAAGAAGAAGGAGCGGAGCAACCCTCGAACGAGTCCCACGAGTCGCGCCAGGCTCCTATCGGCAAAGTGCATACACTTCACCTCTCGTTTGACTCGTGGAATCGCGCCATCGAGCACCGCCCCAGGCGCCAAGTTGGGGTCCCTCGCCTGCCGAAGAAGCGAGCTTGGGAAGGTCAGCCAGGGGAAGACTGTGCGCCGGCGGGTTGCGGTCGCTCGCGCTCGCCTCACAAGCACTTTGGGGGGCCACCGCTGCTATCAGGACCTGTGTACTACTCAGTTATGCCGCACGCACCGCCAGCTAGCCCTGCGAAGCGCTCTTCGTCCGGCACGCTCGTCGAGAAGCTCCTCATCGCTTCGCCCCTTCGCCTCTCTCTCACTTCTCAGCCCTCTGCTTTCGACCGTGCAGCGTCACCGTGGTTTCCGTGCGGGCGTACAGCTCCCCACACCCTCGCTGCGAGACGCACCCGTCCTCTCCGCTTCGGCACGACCTCCACGCTCAAGTCGCAACCCTATCGCTCCTGCTCCACCTCCACGTCCCCTTCGCAGTGCACCCGCTGGCTCTCACAGCGTTTGATCCTCGCTCACAACCGCAGAAAGACGGACGAGACCGCGGAACGACGTTGCGGGACAAACTCGTTGCGAATGGACGGTACAGACTTTGGGGTTTTCGCGGCGGTGCCGGTACAGACAACTGATTGGGAGGGAGATGGGGAGGGTACAGACAACACTTGATTGAGTGGAGTGAATAGATCTGAAGAGCTATGGGCGACTCTTGTTCCCGCCTCACGCCTGTCCCGTCAACTTCTGCCCGACGCACACGCGACCCAAGACCCGAGAGAAAGGGGAGGGGAGAAGGGATGGAGTAGGACGACGACGGGTCAGTCAGAGCCTTGCCCTGACAGCCAAGAGAGCGACCATCGCGGCAATCACCTTGAGCAGGCGCGAGATCGAGCCAAACTTGCTGGGCTTCTTGATCACCGCCTTGGTCGCGAACAGGAGCATCTTGAGCTTCTTCTCTGCGTGCGTGGAGTGGAGCGAGGGTGTCAGCGAGCGCGAGGAAGGAGCGGAGGAATGCGACGAACGGGTGTAGGGCGGGTACCGCGACGCCATGATCATGTCCATCCAGGTCGGGACGTTGGCCGACGCGCGCTCGTGGGAGAACGTGTCGAAGGTGCTGCTCGCCCGGGGAAGCGAGTCAGTCACCGGCCGAGACGGAAGAAAGGTAAGAGAGGGAGGACGCACCGCCTACCGTGGTAGTTTCCGTAGCCCGCCGCGCCCGTACCGCCGAACGGCAAGCCAGGGATCATGAACTGAACAAGCACATCGTTCTGGACGAATCCTCCGGAGCGAGTGCGCTCAAAGACTGCGACCACCGCATCAGTTCCTGGCGTGTCAGCGAGAGAGAGAGGGGCGGGACGAACTGAAGTCGCGGTTCTTCTTGCTCTGCGTGAAGACGTAGAGCGCGAGAGGGGTGTCGCGCGACTGGATGAACTTGACCATGTCGTCGAGCGTCGGGAGGGTCATGATCGGGAGGACGGGGCCGAAGATCTCCTCTGCTCGCCGCAAGCCGTCAGCCTCACTCATTTGAGCGGGGAGAGAACGCGCTACGCACCCGACATGAGCGAGTCGTCAGGCTTGACGCCCCTCACGATCGTGACCTCAATCTTGCGCTCCTTCTCGTCCCTCCCACCGCCAACAACCACCTCGCCCTTCGTCGCATCAAGCAGCTTCGACACGCGGTTGTAGTGGTTCTGGTTGATGATGCGCGAGTAGTTCGGGTTGTGCACGAGCGAGGTCGACGACTTCTCGGAGGACGAGGAGGCGGCGGGGTTGGCGGAGAAGGCGGCGAGAGCGCGCTTGAGGGCTTCGAGGAGCTTCGGCTCGGTCTGGGGGGTGGTGAGGACGTAGTCCGTCGAGATGCAGATCTGTGCGAGCAAGGGCGGGAGCAAGTCAGCGCGAGCCCAGAGGAAAAACGCATGTCGCCCGCGGCGACGCACCTGTCCAGCGTTGGTAAACTTGGCCCAAACGATCCTCCTCGCAACAACTTCAATATCCGCATCATCAAGCACGACCGCCGGACTCTTTCCTCCCAACTCGAGCGTGACAGGGCAAAGATGCTCTGCCGCTGCACGCGCAACGATCTTGCCGACCGTTCCGGAACCGGTGTAGAAGATGTGGTCGAATTTGAGCTTGAGCAAGGCGGTGGCTTGGGGGATGGCGCCGTTGATGCAGATGAAGGCCGTTGGGTCGAGGTACTTCGGGAGGAGGTCGGCGACGAGCGCGGCGACGTGAGGGGCTTGCTCGGCGGGCTGCGGGCGTCGGGGGCGTCAGTGAGAAGAACAGTGGAAGCAGGTGAAAGCGGCAAGCGCACCTTGACGAGCGCAGTGCAGCCGGCAGAGATCGCGCCGAGAAGCGGGACGAGGAGGAGGGTGATCGGGTCTGCGTCGACGTCTTCCGTCAGCTCACGCATTCAACCTCGTGCAATCGAGGCGCACGCACAGTTCCACGTTCCGATGACGAGCGTGACGCCCTTGGGCTCCGAGTAAACAGTCGGCTTGGTAGCGTACCACGTCGCCGACGTCTTGACGCGCCTCGGCTTGGCCCACTTCTCGAGGTGGTCGTAGACTTCGTTGATCTCGGCCTTGACGGGGTTGATCTCGGCGGTGATCGTCTCGAAAGCCGGGCGGCCAAAGTCTTGCTCGAGGGCGCGGACAAAGGCGTCTTCGTTGTCTTGCTGTAGGCCGGGGAGACGTGAGAGTCAGAAGCTACAGCTGGACGTCGACGACTCCCACCAGCGCAGCCTGCACTGGACGAGCCGACGCAAAGACCGCGCAAAGGAACCGCCAACTCACGACAAGGAACCCGAGCTTCTTGATCTGCGCCTTGCGCCAGGCGATGGGCCTAGTCTTTCCCGACAAGAAGGCCTTGGTGACGGTGTCGTAGGCCTGCGGATCGAGCGAGGGGGAGAGTCAGCGGCGAGTTTGCCGGAGAGTCGAGTGGGGAATGGGTGCTGGAGAGCGACGACGGGCGCGGGAAGGGCGGGACCGGTCCAGAAAGTCTGCAGTAACTTTGAACAGACTGCCGAGAGTCCAGCGAGTCCTCCCCAAGCGTCCGCTGCACCACGATCCCTCCCTCCCGCCTGTTTCGAAGCTCCGAAAGCGAGGACGGCACCAAAGCGAGCGGGAGATGCGCGGGCGAGCGTGGAATGTACCTGAGGGATGCTGTCGATGGGAGTGTCCTGCATGGCGGCCATCGTCGAGCGTAGAGAGCGTGAGCGCGTGGAAGAAGGCGAAGAACGAAGCGGAGACGGCGAAGTCGTGAGCCGGCTACTCCTAAACTCGCTCTGTTTGCACTGGAAATAGGTGTAAGTGATGTATTACAGTGTACTCGTAATTGTCCAACACCCAGAACCAGCGAAAGAGCGAGGTTGAAGCGAGCAATACAACCCGGGTAAGCGTCAATACAAACAGATTACAACTTCACTCCTTACCCTCGTACTCGCTCCTCTACACCGCCAGACCGCGCTGCTGGACTGCCAAGCTGGCGCACACGACTCGCTAGACTCGACCCCGAGCGCTCGCAGCCCGCCCGCTGCCCTCGTCGCGGCACACACCTCCCCCTCCCCACTTCCCTTGGCCGTCGAGCGATGTCGTCCTACACGCCCCTGCCGGTCGAGCTGGGCGAGTCTAGCAGCGCTGCGAGATCTGATCCGCGCCAGGGTCGACCGGACTCGTCGTTACTCTCGAGGTTGCTGGTCGTGCCGGACCCGTTTTCGCCGCCCGTTGAATGGCACGGCTCGCGGGACGGGGCGGACGAGAGTAGCGATAGCGGGATTGACGAGGACGAGTACGATGAGAAGGCTGGACAGAGGACGGGGGGGAGGAGAGACGTCGAGGGCGCAGGCGAGGACGAGGAGGAGGAAGATCTTGGCTGGACCGAGGGGTTGTTGAGCGGGAAGAAGACCAAAGGGACAGAAGCGCGCAAGGTGCGATCCAAGCCATTAATCGTTTCCGTCTGACGAGAACTTACACCGCGTTCGATGCCCGCAGCGCCGCCTACTCCTCCTCGCCCTCCTCCCGACCTCCCTCATCCTCCTCTCCCTCGTCCTCTTCTCTACACTCTCCCCATATACCAGCATCTCCACCTCATCACTCCTGAAAAGCGACGGAGCACATACCTATGTCGGCGAAGCGGGAAAGAAGGTGATGAGTTTGGACGAGTTGAGGAACGGGACTTTCTGGACGGAGAAGGTGGAAATCGAGTGGTTGGCGGAAGGTGAGTCGCGCGCTCTTTGCGAAGCTGAGGAATGGATGCGAACACACGGCGTACGAGGAGTCTTGCTGACAAGATCCCCTTCGTCGCCTCCTGCTCCGCCCACTTTGCTCGGCACTATCAACTTCGTCGCGCAGCCGGCGACGGCGTCTACTCGCAAAAAACTCATTCAGGCTCCATACTCCTAACCGACCTGAACGCCAATTCATCGCGGATCTTGGTCGAGGGGAACGATGTGCGAGATGTGCGTCCTCAACTCTCTGCCTGCTTTCGCCGGTCTTGCATAAGTTTGTCAGGCCGCTGATCAGGACGTGGTGTGTGTACAGCCTCGAGGTAGGAAGCTCGACTGGGCGCAGTTCAAGCTCAGCGCGGATGGGAAGGTCGTCTTGTTCAACACGGACTGGACCAAGGTGCGCTTCCTCCCCTCCTTTCCTGAACCAAGCCATGCTCAACTTTCGCCATTCGCAGGTCTGGCGCCACTCCACTCTGAGCAACTTCCACCTCTTCCCCCTCACCTCGTCCTCTCCCCGCGCCCTCCCTCTCTTCTCCCCGTCCTACCCTCCGAAAACCTTTACAGCCCACTTCTCCCCAACTTCGCACCACCTTGCATTCGTGCACGAGAACGATTTGTGTGTTCTGCCCGCGGGGGAGTGGGATGCTGCGGAGCGTGAGGGGGGAGAGGTAGGTGAGCGGGCGGTGAGGGTTACGAAGGAGGGGAGTAGGGTGAGGATGAGTGGACGACCGCCGTGGGTTTACGAAGAGGAGGTGAGTCGCCTCTTTCTCCCTTCTTTGTCGTTCAGCGAAACTGACGAGGAAGTGATAGATCTTCTCCTCCGACTCGACCCTCTACTGGTCCCCTTCCTCGTCGTACCTCGCTTTCCTCTCGTTCAACGAATCCGACGTACCAATCTATGAGTACCCGGTGTACAACTCGAATCCGAACGAGGTTGGAGGGGAAGAGTATCCAGGAAAGGTGGAGGTGCCGTATCCCAAGGTGCGTATGATACTGTCTGCTCTTCGGTGTTCTTGCTAAACTGCCGGGCGCTGATGCGAGCCATGGTCGAGCGCACGCAGGCCGGGTACCCCAATCCGCTCGTCTCAATCCACATCTTCTCCCTCACGCACTACCTCTCCCTCCCCCGCTCCTCTTCCGCCTCCTCCCTCCTCACTCTCACACTCCCCTTCACCGACCTCCCCGCCGCAGACGCAGTCATCACCGAAGTCGCGTGGGTGTCCGAGGAGGAGGTGCTCGTGAGAGTGACGGATAGGGAGGCGAGGAGGGAGAGGGTGGTTCTGTGGGATCTTGAGGGGGTGTGGGTGGAGGGAAGGGAGGGGGAGGGGGCGAGGGAGGTAAGGGGACGGGTTGTGAGGGATGTGGATTGGGTGAAGAGGGATGGAGGGTGGGCAGAGGCGGTGAGTCGTGACTGCATCGCTTCACCTTCTTTCCCCGTCGTCGAGCAGAAGCTGATGAGAGAGATCCTGCATGAACTCACAGTCACAAACCATCGTCCCGCTCCTTTCGCCCTCCTCCTCTGCTCCCATCCCCCCTTACCCACCCGGCTACCTCGACATCGTCCCCTCCCCCTCGGGCTACAACCACATCGCGTATTTCTCGCCCGCTGATGCGGAGGAACCGGTGTTCCTGACGGATGGGGAGTGGGAGGTGGACGGGAAGATCGAGAGGGTCGATTTACAGAGGGGATGTGTGTGCGTTGCGTCCCGCGCCCCCTCATGGCGTCTCGACGATCCTGATCTCGCAAGCGGCTGACAGTTTCCGTCGATGGACTGCGCACAGCTACTTCATCGCCGCCCGCCCCTCGACCTCCCGACACCTCCTTACCGTTCCCATCCCCCGCTCGTTCCTCGAACTCGAGTCGCTTCGATCCGGTCGCTCGAAGATGACCGAGCCGAAGTCGTTGACGGAGGTGAATGGAGAGGACGGGTATCATAGCGTCAGTGTGAGCCCGGGCGGAGGGGTTTGGTTGGTCAACTACGGTGCGTTCCGCAGGGTTTCAATCAGCCCTCCGACCTCTTCCCGAAGGTATCGGCGACTGATGCGAACGCGGTCTCGGGCGCGCACAGAGGGACCCGGCGTACCCTGGCAAAAGCTCTTCAAGGCCGACGACGCCTCCTTCTCCCTCACCCTGACCGACAACGCCGCCCTCTCTTCCCTCGACGCGCAGTACCAGCACGCGAACCTCGTCTACTCGACGCTGGCGATTCCGACGGGTGAGAAGAGGAGGGGCGAGGACGAGACGGTTGAAGTGAATGTGGTTGAGATGAGGCCGCCTGGGATGGACGAGAGTGGGAGAACGCATTATCCGGTGTTGTTTCAAGTGTACGTGCCGAGTTCACCGCTTCGGCTTGCTTGCGAGTCTTCCGCTAGAAGCTGATCCTTTGTGAACTTCGTATCGCGCACAGCTACGGCGGTCCGAACTCGCAAATGGTCAACACTCGCTGGCAACGCGACTTCCAGCACTACCTCACGACTCAGCACAACTACATCGTCGTCCGGATCGACCCACGCGGAACCGGTTTCCGCGGTCGAAAGTTCCGCACGGCTGTGAGGGGACGCTTAGGGGAGCTCGAGGCGAGAGATGTGGTCGAGACGGCGAGGAGGTGGGCTGCCAAGCGGTATGTGGATGAGAAGAGGATCGGGGTGTGGGGATGGGTGGGTCGCGGAATTTTCCTCGAGCGTGGGAGCGCGGGACTGACATTTATCGTGGTCGCAGTCCTACGGCGGCTTCCTCACTTCCAAGATCATCGAGGCAAACTCGTCCGTCTTCTCGCTCGGCATGGCGGTTGCGCCCGTTACCGACTGGAGACTCTGTGCGTCCAGCGATTCGTTCCTCCTCGTCTGCTCCCCGTTCGACCAGGTCCTGACTTCCGGCATGTCGCATAGACGACTCGCTCTACACCGAGCGCTACATGTTCACGCCAGCGCACAACCCGGTCGGGTATGCGAACAGCTCGGTGCACGAGATGGACGGGTTCAAGCACGCTCACTTTGCGCTGGCGCATGGGTGCGTTCGGCGTCTTCCTCGTGAGCGAGCGTTTGCTGATGAGTAAGATTGAGCAGGTCGGGCGACGATAATGTACACTTCCAGCAGTCGGCGCTCTTGCTCGACCGCATGACAATGGCTGAAGTCCGGTGCGTCTCGAGCCAATCCCTGATAGTCTCTCGCGCGGTTTGCTCACGAGCTGAACGCTCGCAGCGACTTCCGCTTCCGCATGTTCACCGACTCGGACCACTCGATCAGCACGCGCAACGCCTACTGGGAACTGATGCGCTGGCTCGAGTCCTTCGTGCGCCCACCTCTTTCCTACGTTCTGAGCCCACTCGCTGACACCGCTCCCGTGGCAGCTCATCGAGAAGTTTGGCGAAGGAGGACGACCGAAGACCCGGACGCAGTTGAAGACGGAGCATGGAGCGGTGCCAGATCCTGCGTTGGGCTTGGGTGACCGCGAGAAGGAACGTGAGAAGGAGTAGGGGCTTGTACGTGCATGGACACTCGCATTTACCGCTTCAAACGCTCGCTCGTCGCGGGACCGCATCTCCGTTCATCCCCTTCTCCTCGACAAAGATTGACTTTCGGCTCGTCGCTCGCTTGTCGCGCGCTTCCCGCGCCGGCTGCTACGTCGGTTGTCGTGCCCGTTGTCGAAGTAGTCCCATTATCCGCTTCGCCTTGCTTGATTGAGGACAATTGCGACTTGGACTGTTTGTCTTCTCCTCGTCGTCTTCCCTTTGACCGTTGTCTCTCCCGCGCACCTCACACAACCCGGCCGAAGGAAGAAGAGACAGGGGCATGGCGCGCGCTGTTCCACGGACAAAGCTAACGCACGCTCCCGGCCGCCGAAACCATCGCTCGGGGAGGACGCCTTTGCTCGCCGTTTCTTCTCTCTCCCGCTTGCCTCGCTCTCGCTGCTCTTTCGTGTCTGTTCTCTCCGTTGATACGTTGCTGGACTCGCTGTGCATCTGTGCCGTCCCGTCCGCTCGCTCACGCCAACCACCGTCACTCGTTCACCTCCTCCCTCGACTCCCTCGGCCATGCAGTCCATCCCGCATCGCTCGCTGGTTGTCGTGGAGAACTACCATTTGACAGCCGACGGCGAATCCCGCGACTTCCCCGCCTTCGCCTACAGCGGCTTTGAACCGTACGCCGACTCGCCTCGCATCGGCTCGCCAGACTCGTCGAAATCCGACTCTCCCCTCCTCAAGACTCCTCGTTCGCCCTTCCCTTACTCGCCTGCACTCTCGACTCGTCGAGTTCGCAGAAGCGCTCGATCAAGCCGGGTACTCTGGCTCGCCGTGACCATTCTCGCTGGCGCAGCCCTCCTCATCCACCAGCACGAGCGGCCTGAGGTGCGACTCGCGGCGAAACGGATGCAGAGCGTCGCCTCGAAGGTCGCGGAACAGCGGTGTCGGTACATGTCCTGGTTGTCGTCCTGCCCCGACCCGTTCGCCAACCTGCGCTTCGAGGAGGACCACGGCGAGATCCTCTACCCTGCCCTTCCGGCCGACCTCTCCGCTCGAACCGACGTCGTCCCGCCTCAACCACATCCTATCCACCACCTCATCCGCGAAGCCGAATTCGCATGGCACCGCAAAGTCTCGCGCCAAAGCCGAACACTCGAACAAGCAGTCGCCGAGTACCGGCGACGGTACAACCAGCCCCCTCCTCGCGGCTTCGACGCCTGGTTCCGTTTTGCACAGTCGAACAACGTCCAACTCCTCGACGAGTACGACTCGATCTACGAACGCATCCTGCCTTTCGCCGCCCTCTCGCCGGAAGTCCTGCAAGAACGCAGCGCGGTATTGCAGAATGTGACAGGCGAGGAAGAGTATTGGATCCATCAACATACAGCGACGATCAAGTTGCGGCATGAGGATGGCGTGGGCAAACTGGAGGCGGAGGGACCGGGGACGAAGGCCAACCCGAGGGCCGAGCAGATGATGGCGCTCCTCGAGGGCGTCAAGGACATGCTTCCCGACTTGAACATCACCATCACCTGTGCGTCGACGTGCTCGTTCTCCTGCAGTGAGCATGCGCTGACGCTTTTTTCGTTGCAGCTGCCGATGTCCCCTGGATCGTCCTTTCCGGCGCGCACAAGCAGATGCACGAAGCCGCTGCGCAGGCTGGAAAGTGTGAGTGGACGTCTGCGCTCCCTCGTTGAATGAAGCTGACTAGTCCCGCCGCAGTCCTCGACGACAAGGCGACCTTCAAGGACAACTGGGACCTCGACGGCTGGCAAGTCATTTGCCCTCCTCAGTCACCGCTCCAAGAAGCCGAGCACTTCGAGAAGCGCATGGACTGGCAAGCTCCGGAGAAGACGAGCTTTATCGGGCTTGACCATGTCAAGGCGATGGACGTTTGCCAGCATCCGGAGAACCAGGCCATCCATGGCTTTACTGCTTGGTGCGTCTCAAGCTGCTTCGGTCGCTTCTTCTGACGTCCTCCTGACTCGTCCCGCTCGCAGGCCCGGCCCCCGCCCCGGCTTCCTCTTCCCTCTCTTCTCCTTCACCACCTCCTCACTCCACTCCGACCTCCTCCTCCCGCCTCTCGAACAATACGAAGCCCCTGTCGGTCCCGATCTTCCATGGGCGCTGAAGAAGCACGACAAGGCGCTTTGGAGGGGCTCGACGACTGGGAGCGATTTGACGCAGCCCCATGCGAGGAAGTATAGCCAGAGGGTTAGGTTGGCGAAGCGTGCGTCTCGCTGTCCTCCTTCTCGCACAGCATGTTGTTGCTGACGCTCGCCTCGTAGTACCTTACGCGACCGGCCAACTCTCCATCCCTCTCGCCGCGCACGACCGCCCCGGCTCTCCCAGCCGTGTCGAATCGCAAGTCATCCCGACGATGCACCTAACGGACGAGTTCCTCGACGTCAAGTTCGCCGGCTGGCCGGCCCAGTGCGGGACGGAACAGGAGTGCGCAAGCTTGGAGCGCGAGTTCGAGTTCGATGGGTTCATGCCGGTCGAGGAGCAGAATCAGGTGCGTTCGCCCGCTTTCGCTTGTCGAGGAGCGTTGGCTGATGGGTGTGAGCGTTGCAGTACAAGTATGTCATCGACGTGGACGGTAACGGCTGGTCCGGCCGCTTCCATCGGTTCGTCCTTTCCTCGCCTTCGCAACTCGCCGACGCGTCCTGACGATCTCGTGTCGACAGTCTCATGGTGAGCAACTCGCTCGTTCTCAAGAGCACCATCTTCCCTGAATGGTACTCAGACCGCATCCAGCCTTGGGTCCAGTGCGTCCACCTCGCTTCCTCCGCTTCGAGCACCACCTAACCTTGCTCTGCGCAGCTACGTCCCCGTCAAGACCGACTACACCGACCTCCTCCCCATCATAGCCTTCTTCAAAGGCTCGCCATACGACGGGTCGGGCGGACACGACGAGTTGGCGGAGAAGGTCGCGAGTGCTGGGAAGCAGTGGACGGAGCAGAACTGGTTCGTCTCCCCTTCCGTTTCAACTCCGCACTATCACGAGGCTAATGATGTGGCGTGGCAGGCGCTGGGTCGACATGCAGGCGTACCTCCTCCGCTTGCTCCTCGAGTACGCCAGGGTCATGAACCGCGACGACAAGGGAACGATGGACTACGTCGCTTGATGCGAGCTCCTTCTCTCCTCACTTGTGCATAGACACTCGAGTGTTGTAGAAGTTCTTATTGCTGCATTTGCATGAGTTTGCGTCGTTCTTGCTGAGGAGGAAGACGTCCTCTCCTCTTCCCTTCGCTCCTCGACCTAACCCGAGCGCTCGCTGCTTCAACGAGCTTCCTCCAGGTGCTACAGCATCGGATACACCGTGAAGGCTTCCTGCAGGCGGACGCCGGGCGGCCAAATCGCTCGCTCCCCTCAACGCGACACCCCTCTTGCACTTCGCCAGCTCATTGCTCTCGCTGCACCGCGTCGCTGGCCTTGCGGAAGCTCGCTGCCACCTTTACGATACCTCCTGAGCTCTTGACGCTCCTCTCGCTCGACCGCATGCCCTGCACGTCCCGCTACGCTCCTCACTTGATCCTCATCAGCCTCCTCTCGGGACGGACGGCAACCTGTCCGCTAGGAAGCACAGCCATCAGCGAGTTGGCGTGCATCGTACCAGACTCCTTTCGCGCGTGCAGGCGATCCGATTGCTGGGGTTGCGTCTGATGAGGGCCTGGGATACAGGAGGAGGAGCAGGAGGTGCGTTCTTTCGATTCGTACTGCCTCTCCTGTGCGCACAAGCTGACCAATATATTCACAGGAGATCTCCACGCCTGTCGAAGAAGGACCGCATGAAGTTTCCCTCGCTCGCCGCTGTAACTCCTTTCCCACGCCGACTCGCCCGCTTTGACCGTCTCGCTCCGCCCGAGCACATCGACTGAGCCACGCCTAAGCACATCCACCGAGGCGAGCTGCGATGCGCACCTGAGGTCTCCTTTCGATCGCGCTCATTTCCTCCAGCGACCTCCTGCTGCTCAGCATCGAGTCTCCTGGTGCCGGACAATGGCGCAGGTCGCTCTCTGACGAGCCACCTCCTGCATCTATGCACGAGCCGAGGCTGCTCAATCGACTTCACGACCTCATCCAGACCCGCAGCTCGCTTTGCCCGAGGCTGCACGTTCTCTCTTCCTCTTGCAGGCGCTGAGACGTACGCTGCAGACTCGCCAGCAATGCGTGCGGTCCCGCATCTTACGGTCGACACTGTCGGTGCCCATCTTGCGTCAGCAGAACAGATCGCGCCCAGCCTCTTATCGACGCAACCAAGCGCTTCGGCCGCCTCTTCCAGCGCTTCCTCCCTTCCTACTCTCAGTCCCCTCACGCTCTATACGCCTACCACTCCAGACGCCGTTCCACAGACTCAGCTTCGCGTCGTCCCGCCTCTCCCCTCCTTCCCGCGCCCAGACCCCGTGCTCGACTTGACCGCCTCGTCGCCGGCTCAGGAAGACGTGCCAGTAACCCAGGGCTCGTCATGCTCGTCTCACGATGGCCAGTCGACAGGCGAGACTACGGAAAGGCGAGGCTCGTCCGATAGGGTCTTCGTGCATCGTCTCTACGAGTGAGCCGACGAGCCCTTTCTCCCGGCCGAGAATGAGCTCACCCTCGCGTTTGACAGCATGCTGACCGACGAACGCAACGAACCCTGGATCGCCTTCAGCGAGTCAGGCGATACCTTCACCGTCTTCGACCCGGACACCTTCGCTCAGAACGTCCTTCCCCGCTACTTCCGACACCGCAACTTCCAGTCCTTCATTCGTCAACTCAACCTTTACAACTTCAGCAAGGTCGTGACCGCGAGGACCGTACCTCGAGCGAAGCCGACCAAGGGCGAGCAGGAGACGTGGGAGTTCCAGAACCCCGACTTCCACCGCGACAGGCCCGAGAACGTCGACTTGATCCGACGCCGAGGCGCCATTGGCCCTTCGCCAACGACGTCGCGGCGGAATTTGAAGGCGTTGTCGGGGCGAACTTTTGCTTCGGACCTCGCACCTCAGCCAAACTACGAGCTACCTATGCCGTCCCGTCCCGCTCTCGCCGGTCGATCGTCGTCGCAGATCTCCGTCGATGGAGAGCCTACCGCCACCTTGGGCCCTTTCGCCTTACCCTTCGTTCCGCCTAGTGGCTTCGAGCCGCTTGCACCCTCTCGACGGTCTTCTTCCACACCTCGTCCACCTCCGCGCTGGCAGCCCTCCTACCCTCCTACGTCACTACCTCGTCGCAGATCTCGCACCGCTCCCTCGCCCACCTCGCACCCGACAGCTCGTCCACCAACGTCGGCCTCGCGTCGCCCGTTGAACCCAACCACACCCGAGGAGCTCGACGCTCTGCTTGACGAGCGCAAATCACTCGATGCAACGATCAAGAAGTACCGCTTTGACCTCGGTGTTTTGTCGTACCAAGTGAGGGAGGGACAGGCGAGGATGCGAAGCTTGTTGCAGCTCACTTGGCAGCTCAAGCAGCTCGTCAAGCAGCTGGGCGGCGAGGCAGGTGCGTCGAACTAGTCATTGGGATACACGGTCAGTGTCAAGATTGACGCGACTCGCAGACCTCGCCAACTTTCCCTTTCACGTCTTCGACCCTCGCCTCGCCGACTTTTCCGTCCCCTTGTCCGTCATCGAGAATGACTTTGCGTCGAAGAATGCGACGAGAGCTCCTCCTCCCCAGCCGAAACAACGTCCGCCGCCAACGCAGCCGGTTACGACCCTCGCTTTCCTTCGCCTGGGTTGGGCTACGCCTTCCCGCAGCAGCTAGTCAACATCTCCGACCCGACCGTTCACCCGTCAAACGCCTCGACTCCAGTCCCAGCGCCAGCTGGGTCGAGCGAGGGCGACACAGCGCACACAACTTTTCCCTCCGGCCTCACCGTTCCCGCCTCTTCCCCTCGCACCTGCTCCCACTCGGCACCCGAGCAAGGTATACGCCGCTACGACTCGTACGAGTCCGCCTACTCGGTACCGGAGACCCAGCTCGCCGTCGACCAGGCGATAGACTGCGCCTACCAGCCGGCCGGGCCCATCGTCGACGACTCGTGGCTATCGACCTATCCCCCTGAACCCTCTACGCAGTGCTCCGAACCGCCTTCGCGATACTCCTCTCGCCCTACCTCATCTGTAGGCGACGTGGGCATCTCAACGCCTACAAGCGCTCGAGGCTCGTACAGCAGCGAGGGGTCTTCGCTCGCTTCGTCATTCGTCGAGGTGCCGAGGCACGATGCGTACGATGCACAGCTCCAGTACTCGACGCTCGGGCAGATACTGCAGGGCGGGTCGAAGGGATGAGTGGTTCGCACTTCGCTCGCCTTCGTCATCCTCTTATCCTTCCTCCCTTCTCCCGTTCGCTTCCTCACTCTCAATCCGCATACGTAGCCAGCCAGTCTCCTGATACCCGTATCTAGCAGCTCTCACCGCATGGACCCTCATAGAGACCCAGCAATGCAGTTCTCGCCCATCCCATTCAGCTCATCTCCCTCACTCGCTGCGAGGACGGCTGGTTCGACAATAAACGCGTGACAGCACGCTCGTGCATTCTCGCACGAGAAACTAGAACCCGTAGGAGTACCCACCTCCGCCGTACCCTCGCCTTCCTCCTCCTCCGCCCATAAACATGTCCTCCATGTTGAACGCTCCGCCGCCGCCATACCCGCCGCCGAACCCGCCACCAAATCCACCGCCGAAGCCGCCGAAGGGTGAACCGCCCATCCCGAATGGTGACCCGCCGAAATCGTCGTAGCCTGACATGCCGCCCGTCGGATCGCTCTGCTCGGAACGCGTGTCAGTATTGCTCGAGCTGCGAAATGGCGAAGTGAACGCACCTCGTCGATGCCGGCATCGAACTTTGCCCTCCGCTGCGGGTCGGACAAGATCTCGTACGCCTCGCTGACCTCCTTGAACGCGGCCTCGCTTCCGCCCTTGTCCGGGTGATGGATGATCGCCATCTTGCGATACGCCTTCTTGATCTCAACTTCGGTCGCCTCGGAGTGGATACCGAGGGTCTTGTAGTGGTCCTGCAAAACCGATCCAGGCGAAATGTCAGCCTCGCGAGCGAGTCCAGGAAGACCGAAAGCGAACGCACCTTCATCTTGCTCCGCTTGAGCTTCTGCTCCGCCTCCCTCACCTCCTTCTTCAGCTGCGCCTCGTCGTTGCTTCCCTCTGGCGCAAGGTCGAAAGCCTGCTTGAAGTCGGCGACGGCCGCCTCCCAGTCTTCTTGCGCGAGGTGGGCACGCGCGCGTGTTCGGAATGCTTTGAAGTAGGTGGAGTTGACCGCGAGGCAGGCGGAGCAGTCGGCGATGGCGGAGGCGTAGGACTTGGCCTGCGAGATAGCAAGTCGCGGTGAGCCCGAGTCGTCCAGATGAAGCAAGTGCCCCATCCGCATGGCGGATGAATCACCCGCGAATCGAACCTCGAAGAACTCACCCTCAGATGCGCCGCAGCCCTGTTGCTCAACAACGTCGCCTTCATCGACTCGTTCTCCGGGTCCGCCTCCATCGCCTCGGTGTACTTCTGAATCGCCTCGTCCGTCCGTTGGGCCTTGAACGCTTCGTTACCGGCTTCCTTGAGCGAGTCGACGAGGCGGATGCGCTTGAGGAGGGTTCTGCGAGCAATGAGAGCGGGGTGAGCATTCGTTCGTCCGGCTGACACGCAGAAACAAGCTGCGACAATCCCGCTTCGGCGAAGAGGAAAGCGTGGCTCACCGCGCCTTCGAGTAGTCCGGGTCGTTCCGCAGCGCCTCCTGGCAGTGCTTGATCGCCTGATCGTTCGAGCCGGAGAGGTAAAGACACAAGCCGCGGTAGTAGAGGGGTTCAGGCTGTTTCGCGTCGAGGCGGAGGAGGTCGCTGCGTGAGACAACGCAGGGCGTCAGCTTAGGATAGAAGAAGAGAAGGAGGACTGGAGAACGCACGCAGCCAGACTCGACGCCTCGTCGTACCGCTTCTTCCCAATCAACGCCTCAAGCTTCCACACCCTCCACTCTTTGGGCGTGACTTCGGCCTCGCACTCGCGCACCGCCGCATCGACACCAAGCAAAACCATACTCCAGTCCTTCTTCTCCAAGTCGCGGCGGATATTCGCAACGTGCGTCGCAACCCTGTCCGCGCGGTTCTTCTCCGTCGCGATGGCGCGGTTGGAAGGGTCGAGTCGGAACGCCTCGTGCAGAGTCTGCTGCGCCTGGCTCGTCAACCCGAGCACGAGCTGACACTTGGCCGTTCGAAGGAGTGTCTTGCTCTGCGGGTCGTTCTTCTGCAAACCTTGGGCTGCAAGACAGTCGTCCAACGCTGCAGCGAAGAGCTTCGAGCCCATTCGCGCGGCAGCGCGGTTGAGGAAGTACGAAGGGTTCGAGGGGTCGAGCTCGATTGCGTGCGAGTAGAAGCGCGTCGCGGAGGGGTAGTCGGATCGCTTGTAGGCGAGGTTGCCGAGCTCCTTCTTCTCCAAAGCGCGGGCGAGGCGTTCGGATTCCGTCAACTCGGAGTCGGGCTTCTCCTGCTCCTTCTCCTCCTCCTCCTCCTCCGAAGACTCCTCCTCGGATCCTGACTCGTCCTCATCTGACGTCGACGCTCCAGGCGCAGAGAAGCCGTGCCCGTTTCGCGCAGAGCCGTTCGTAGGGCGCGAGAAAGAGCCCGAGGGTGAACGGAAGGTGAAGTCGCCTGTCGGGGTGAAGTTCGAGGTCGAAGCTTGTGGGGCTGAGGTGGGTGGAGAGGTCGAGGCGGAGGCGTTGGCGGCTGCGCGGGCCCTGTAGGGAGAGAATGAGAGTTTGTCAGCGAGAGCGAGAGGGGTCGAGGTGGAGCGGCGCTGTCGACGCCTGCTGGCTCGTCGGCTGCGCATGACGAGCTGTAGAAAGTCTTCCTGTATCTTCATACACATCCCGAGCCTTCAACCGCTGCCTGCAACGCCGTTGTCGCCTTCATCGCCCGTTCCCGCCGCTAATCCTCTAGACGAGCGCAACCTCGACCACGGCAAGCTCTGAAGGCGCACATGCCACTTCAAACAGCTAGACGGGAGTACTCACTTTGCCTGCTGCCTGCGCTGAGCACCGCTGCGCTTCGATGGCATCGCTTCGTCTGATTCCTGTCGAGGACGGCGAAGAGGCGGCGCTGAGCGGGTGTGAGAGCGAGTCGACGGTCGCTTCGTCGTCGTTATTGCGGGCTGAGGAGCTGGAGAGCTGCCTGGGTCTAGCAGCGCACGAAAGAGCGAGGACAGCGGCGAGGTCGAGGTCGAGGAGGAAGAGGAGCAAGGGGATGGTCATCTCGTCCGCCTCAGCTTCCTGGGGCTATCTGCGTCGATAGGCCTTGCTGAAAAGTGTCTAGAGGGGCACTGGCGGTCCCGTCCCGTCCGCCTGCAGCGTTGCAGCGTCGAAGAGCATCCTTCTCCTCCTCGCGCACGAACAATCTCCCTCTCTCTCGCTACAACGCTATGTTTGACGGGAAAGGACGCCCTGTGGGCCCCATTCGACGTTTCCCACCGTCTGAACCCTTCTCTCGCGCGCTTCCTCCCTGTCGCCACACGTTCACGCCGCGTCGCCCTCGCCTTTCCCTCTGCCCTTCCCTTCATCCTCCCTCTCCCCTCGCACACGCTCTAGCCCGACTCGCACCAGCCCACCATGCTCGTAAGCTTCACGCTGTCACGCTCGAACGGCTCGCGTCACGCGGTGTGCGGAGGACGACGAGAGACGGACCGATGAAGTCAATCCAGCCATCGCGCGTCTCTCGTCGCTCGGGAGGATGTGCGCGGGCAGCGTTGAGCTAGAGGAGGACGCACATCGACATTGCACGCGTGTCAAACCGGCGGACGGGTCGTGTGAGGTGGATGGGATGGGCGGGCGACTTTCGCGACGCGTGAAGGTGGCAGACGTGAACGGCAGTTCGGGCGGTTCGAAGGCTGGCGGACTTCGTAGCAGTCTCTACGACACTACTAGACGCTTTGCGGGACGAACGGACGAGTACGCCGGACTGGGCTGGACGCGTCTCGCTTGGGGACGACATCGACGCGTCTTCGTTCTCTGCGGTATTCGCGGGTCTTGAGGCGTACAGAGCCTGTGCCGTCAACCGAACAGTGCGACCGAAGCGCGCCCGGCGGGAGACGAGCTGAAACCTTTTCGTCTGCCCCTCTCGCAGGAAGCCAAACTCGAACAGGCCGAACTCCTCAAGAAGGTACGTCCCGCTCGTCTTCTCGTGCATCTATCAACGCTGCGAATGCGACTGCTGCCGGTAGTCGCACGAGCAGATGTGTAGCGCGCAGTGTGTACTGACATCCTGCCTTTCCTCTTCGCAGATCCTTGACGGTACGCTGCAGTCTCGACGCTGCTTGCTCTCGCTTCGGCTTTCGAGCCCTGCGACGCCTACCTCCTGCCGAGTCGAAGCGTTTGACGGACTTGCCCGCCGACAGCCGTCAAGGAGCTCGTCACCGATGCCAACTTTGACTGCTCGGACGAGGGCATCGTGCGCTGCTGTTTACCCTGTTCTGCCTGTCGAAGCATTACGAGCTGACTCTCTCGACTGGTGGTACTGGATTCGCCACGCAGAAACTCCAAGCGATGGACAACTCGCACGTCGCGCTCGTCTCGCTCAACCTCGCCAAGACGGGCTTCTCCGAGTACCGCTGCGACCGCGACATGTGCGTCGTAGTGTTCTCTCGTTTGCTCTCGCGCCTTTCGCGCGGTTGCTGACTGCCAGAGCTTCGCCGTATGCGTACAGGTCCCTCGGCGTCTCGCTCGCGTCGCTGCAGAAGATTGTCAAGTGCGCCGGCAACAACGACATCCTCACTCTCCGCGCCGACGAGTCCGTCGACGTCCTCGCGCTCCTCTTCGAAGCGAAGCACGCAGACCGCGTCGGCGAATACGAGATGAAGCTCATGGACATCGACCAGGAGCACCTCGGTATCCCCGACACGGTCTACGATGCCGAGATTGATCTCCCTGCGACCGAGTTTGCGCGCATCATCCGCGACTTGAAGGAGTTGGGCGAGAGCGTCAAGATTGAGGTGTCGAAGGAGGGCGTGAGGTTCTCGGCGGATGGAGACATTGGCACGGCGAGCGTCACGCTCAAGCCGACGGACAAGCGCGGCAGGAAGGCGGACTCTGACGGCGAGGACTCGGACGAGGAGGAGGAGCAGGAGGACGAGGAGGATGAGGAGGCCGAGGAGCCTGAGCCGAAGGAGGAGGAGGACGAGGATGTGCGTTCGCGAGGCTCTCCCTGCTCGGTTCAATCTTGCGCTTTCCGTCGGACGCGACAGCTGACGGTTTCGGCACCCAGGGCGACGTCAAGCCCAAGATCTCGGGCTCGGACGACGAGGACGACGACGCGCCCGCCAAATCGAAGGCCGGCAAGAAACGTAAGGCCGTCGAGGATTCCGAGGAGGAGGAGGGTGCAGACGAGAACGGCGAGGAGGCGTCCTCGCCGAAGAGGGTGAAGAAGGAGTCTGGCAAGGCCAAGCCTGCGAAGAAGGAGAAGAAGAAGGCTGCGCCCAAGAAGGGCAAGGCGTCTTCCTCTTCCTCTTCGAAGGCGAAGTCTTCCAAGGGGAAGAAGGCGAAGGGCGGGGACGAGGAGAAATCCATGGACGTCCGCATCAACCTGCAGCAAGTGAGGATCCCCTTCCTCCGCCTCTCCGGAGTACAGCCACTGACGCTATCGACTTGTGCAGGCCGTCGCCCTCACGTTCTCGATCAAGTACCTCTCGAACTTTGCCAAGTCGACGCCCCTGGCCGAGCGGGTCCACCTGCACATGTCGAACGAGGTGCCGCTGCTCGTCGAGTACGCTTTCGAGCAAGGGCACATCAGGTATTATTTGGCACCGAAATTGACCGTCAGTCCCCTCTAAGACCCGCTCAACTTCGAGATTCGCGCGGCTGACTTGGTGGATTCTCGCAGGACGAGTAAACTGTCCCGCCCTCGGCTCGTCTCGTCTCTTGAATTCTTCTGCGCAAACGACGCGGCGACGGCAAGCTCGTTGCGCCCCTGCCGCTTTCCCGCCTTCACCCCTTCACTCGCAGTCTTCCCTTTCCCTCGTTTCTTTCAGCTTCTCACTCGGTCTTTCTCTCGTCGCTCGTCGCTTCTTTCCGTACTGTCCCAGTGCAAAAGCTAGTCCTACTGTATTGTACCGTCGCACTTGCCCCCTCTTTCGCAAGTCTGCTGGAGAAGACATCGTGGTCTGGAGACGGAGAAGCACGAGAGGGCGGCAAAGCGTCCAGAGGCAGGCATCAATGTGGTTTGCAGGAGAGATTCTCACACTTCCGTAGGATGCCGGAACAAGTGGAAGAGCATGAGCGACGTTGCAGACTAGAACAGGCATAAAGCGACGGGGATATACTCCAGACGATTGATGTAAGCGTCGTTTCCGCGAACTGAGTGGCAAAACTTCACTTCGCACCAGAGGCGGTGGGCTTGGTGAGGTGTCCTTCGAGTGCGGCGGGACCGAAGTGAGCTCGGGCGAAGCGGATCACACTATCTCTGCAGAGGGAAGCGATATCGTCCTCCACGGTCTTGTCTTTGAGCGAGCGTGCCGCCTCCGTCTGCGGGAGTGCCAACATGCAGAAGAAGCGGTGCGCAAGCACCGTTTGTTCCACCGAGGCGTCCGTCATGAAGATCGGGAGCAGTTCGTCGTTGATCAAGCGAGTTTGATGTCGAGCCCAACTAGAGAGGAGGTCGTCGCGAGGGGAACGCGTGTAACCGACGGGACAGGCCAGGCGAGCTAATAGAAGGGTGACTTGCGTGCTGCGGGCTCGAACAGGCGCGTGAGGAGATGCCGTGGTCGAGGCGTAGCGCATGTCAGCCTGCGGAGAACCGTCACAGCACAGGTCAGGCTTCACGATCCGCGGGGAAGGACTTTAGCAAACAGCGCACCACAATCTCTTCGCGTGACTTTCCGGTGCACAACTTCGCCGAGGAAAGGGCGCTGACTTTCACATCTGTGCCACCATCGAACGCGTCGAGCATTGGCTTGTCCAGATCTCGAAGCGCAACGTCTAGTTCGTCGGCTGAAAGTAGCGGGAGGACGAGAGGGAAGGCGTTTTGCCCGCACACGAGCTTGTGGCCGAACCAGACCTACAGCACGAGCGTCCCATCAGCATGAGAGAGCCTGTGAAGCGCAGAGAACAAGAGGACGGAACTCACGAGTTTCTGGTGTTCCGGCGAGCAGAAGAAGAGGTCGAGTCCTGCCTTTGCACACGCCGAGCACCGGTTCTTCGTCTCCTTCCCGCACACCATGCACTCTCCCATCGTCTGAAAGGCCATCGTCAATCGCCGCAAGCTGTTGTCGCGCTGCAAGTCGAAGTCGGCCGCGAGGACTGATGAAGTTGGCGAGGAGGCAAGTGATAGCGTGGGAAGCAAGGCGCCAGTCAGTACGGCCTCGAGAGCAGTCGTAGCAAGGTCACAAGCAGCAAACGAGCCCAATCTGAGGCAGCGGGTGAACAGGACGAGGAGAACCCGCTCGCTTGACCTCCCTTCGACCTCGAACGCTCACTCTGCTCCCGCTCAAACGCTTGCTGGGCTTGCTAGACCGCCCTACCGGCTTGTTCTGTTTCCTTGGCGGCGACGGAATCACATCCTAAGATTCACGACGCCCCTGGCCGAGCGGGTCCACC